GAGGTCATGCCACTCAGTATCTTGAAACGATGGGAAACATGGCTCAGAATCTAAATCAGTGACAACCGTGCTACAGTTTTCTTGCTACTTTTAGTATCAAGAAGTGACTCGAACGAGTAAATAGTTCTTTTTGCATTTTTGAGACTATTTCTCTAATAACCAATTTCTGTTCTTGTGGCCGTTCTTATTCCTATTTATTGTGTCTTCTTATTTCTGCTTAACTGCTTTGTGTGGCACATTTCTCTGTGCCCAGGTCGTAAAGAGTTTATGATTTAATCAACAGTACGGTAATAATAATAATAGGACTCTAACACCGTAATACTTTTGGTGTTGCATACTAACTAATATCGACATTTATACATATACATAGTGGTTCCCTTAGTGTTCTTGGGGTACCAAGTTTCCGCGATAAAAAGCGGAAGGATATTTGCTTCTCATAAATACTTGTCGAATTCTTTCTAGCTAATTATCAACTGTATAAATGATTCCAATCCTCTACTATAACCAGTGAGCTAAGTTTTCCGACAGTTCAGTGAAATTAAAGTGTGAAGCGTATAAACTGTCTATTATATGCAGGCTTCTTATGTATTGATCGTCGAAGAAACCAGTAAGTCATTTTTTTGGTAAGATGTCCAGGAAATGTAATTCCGAGTATTTCTTGGCTTCTGATATTTAACATATCAACCAAGTGTAGTCATCAAAGTCTACAAATACGGTTTTGTAAGAATTTTTTCCTCGAACATGATAAATATGCCGTGTGCATTTTTCTTTTTAGCACAAAAACTAACAACCACCATGTTTACCAAAGTGTTTTTCAGGTTTTTTATCAAGTAGTCTGCCAGCAGAGTGCAATAGGTGGCTTTTGTTACCAAATAAATTTTGTACTTACTATTCAGTATAAAATTAAAGCTTAGCTTTGAAAGTGTATGTCGGAAGTAGTTCCCACTAACAGTGTCAAAATACGTGTTTAGATGAATTACTAGTATAGGATGAGGTGCTATTCAATAAAGTTATCTGGTTATTGGATATTTGTAGTTAAGAGTTTGGATGTTTGCAGTAAACTCTTCTTCGAGCAAGGTTCTTAGTAAACGTACCAATGTCATACTAGACATTCTCATCAGAGTTTCACAACGAAATGATGTATTTGGTTAGGGATGGATATTTACGATGTGCTTTGTACCCCAAGTGTAACGTAACTGGTTGCTTGGTGAGTATTTAAGCGTATGCTAAACCTGATTAGTTGACCTTCTGCATCGTTTATCCAGAGGGGTGAATACGACTGATTATGAACAATGTGATGATTTACCGCTTATTTGTGTCCAAAATAGGTGTAATGAAGCATTTGTGTTACTTTAAGCAAACTTTATATATGTGGAGTTATGAAACCAGATGATCTTTGATTTTTAAACAACTGCACGCTGATCTATTTTATTATTCAGAGTTTCATCGTTCGGTTACATCGTTTATACTGGTTACTTTTGAAAATTTGTATTTATCTAACATGACATTTTAAAAAGCTAGAAACATTATCAAAAACGACTAAAGACAAATCTTGATTTTTTTAAAAGTATCGATGATTATACTGAAATAACTGAATACATGTTTTTACCACGTTTCAGAAAACCATGCCTGTTAGTCGAAGACATTTTACGATTTTAACAGTGAAATTTTACCAACGATTTTCTGGAACGTTGCTTTTTCTGTCTGTGCGATTAACGGGCTAATATGCTGATATTTCGGAAGATGATTTTTGTTCAGTTCTTAAGTAGGGAAGATTGTGTTTCGTAGACTTCATTCAGGATGTAGAGTTTTGATAATAATAATGATAATAATAATCGCTTTATTCCAAACAATATGTGGCAGTATGGAATTCTCAGGAGGTAATTTCTCAACAAATTCACTCCCAGAACAACACTTTCATACGAAACGGTTATTTCATCGGAATGATGCTAATAATAACAGTATTCAAGGCAATAATGTGAAATAGCTAGCCGGTTCTGGATAGGCATCCGGTTCATAATGAAGAATCAACAGAAATGCAAGCATAATTTTGGTGGTGGTGCATTCAGATGATACAAAAATCTGCAACTCAAGCTAAGCATCTGACGAATAGAAATACAGTGTAATTTTGTGCACCAAAAAGTCCATTTGCATATAACGTAACATTTTTTCTCTGCTTTGTTACTGACTTAAAAAACAGAGAATTGGAAACAGTTTAAAAATGTACAAGAGTATATGAAACGTTCAAAAGACATATTTAAATGATTAAAACAAATTGAAAGGAAAGAATTTGATGAAAAATGTTCGATGGATAAATTTGGTAGCCCAAGGTTCAAGCAGACCGCCGTGAATGCAGAAATTCACAAAGATTTTGAGAATCATTTATCTTAATCAGACGGTTTTTCAGAAAGCTAATTCTTGTTTTTAGGTCAGCGTGATCATGATAAGTGTTTAGACATACGTCTAGTTCGAATGTTGTCACAAGAAGCTTATTGCTTGTTAAATTTCAGAAATTTTCACTTGGGTCATAAGGAAGAAGGGAAACAAAATAAACTGCCCAATTCAAATTTTAGCCAGAAACTCACGGTTAGTAATTGCCTGATTGATAGAAAGCGGCTTAAATAGAAACCGATATGGCAGAAACTGTTCAGTTTCCAATTTTTGACTTATGCTGCTGTGTACTCAAGATAATTCTTATTGGAAAGTCATATGCTTGATAGAGCCAATTAGGATTAGGTATCTCATCTTTAACCCTGCACACTTTTAAATTTGTAAAGCTGCCAGATTGAAGTTACGGAGCAGTCACTTTTGTTCTCTGATATTTTTGTAGTCCAGTGAACAGTTCATTTGTCTCAGTGTGTTCAGTATCGTTATTACCTTTATCATATTCTACTCATTAATTTCACTTATGATCTTTGTTTCTTCGTTTAACATCATAACATTGATCTAGTGAACATTTATTCATTTCATATGAGAGTTGTGGAAACTGTCGTTGACTTCGCATCTCTTCATAATTTTAATTTTGCGCTTCTCAAAATCTGCAAGTACACTGGTTAATTTACTTTAAAGCAAGATTCTACAAATGTATTAATTGCTGTTGTTGTTTGGCACTTGTGATTTCCCGTTGCAGACAGTCTCGTATGCGGATGCTTCGATACTACAGATTGTTGATCTTGGTGATTCACAGTGGAATTCAGGGCGCGCTTTTCCTTCTATTTGAGACTCGTCTGCCGGATGTATCTACACCTGAGTGAGTGATGTTGCTTCTACTGAGACTGGAACCCAGTACCCATCGCCTCAGATGCCAGTGTTATCCACTAGGCCACTGAGTTACGAGGGCTACCATTTGTGCAACACGTATGATTTGTTGCCGTTTGATACTTATAATTTCCTGCTGTTATACAAAGTCAAATAACCTGACCTTCGATGGCAGATGGGTTCCTCTGCAAATGCCTCGATATTGCCGGATATTCATGATGTTATATTCACTAAGCCTAGTGGATAACGCTTTGGCGCTTGAAGAGATGGTCATTGGGTCCGAGTCTCAGTGAAAACATCACCCACTGGAGTGCAGGCAAATCCAGCTGGCGAGTCCCAAATAGCATGAAACACGCAGCCGGAATTCCACTGTGGGTCACCCAAATGAATACAGAGTTAATTGCTCATGTATTACCTTTCATATAAATTAATTCTGCAAGAACCGATTCACGTTTAAAATACACATTTGATGGATCAGTAACCAAGACTAAGAATAGTTCCATCAAAGTGAATAAAACTTTATAAATCTGTAGCAGATGATAAGAAGCCTATGAAAAGGAGATTAATCGACCGTATTCTATGAATGGAATCTTCACTGCATTACTTTAAATTAATCAAGGAAAGAATGTGCCGAATTATCCCTGCATATTACAAAGGTGATATTAATATTCTTCAGTAAAACACAGATCCAAGATCCTATTCAAGCTGAGGACAACGGCACTAAGTTGCATATAATTTATTATTAGTTTATTCTGTCTTATATAGAGTTATACTCTGCCACAGTGTTTACGTTTTACTCGCAGACTAAATACCATGCAGTAGAGAAGAAAGTTATTTTGTAAAACGACAAGACGGAGACGAAGGAGGGAATCTTTATTATTGACATCTGGTACAGTAGTTATCAAATATTGTACGCCTTGCACTAAGACCATCATTTGTATAATGTGCTTCATTTCTTCTTCTGCCTCTATCTTGATTCGCTCTTAATATGCCCACATTGTCTCTTGCGTTTCTCTCAGCAGGATCTTTACCCATGTTAGTAATTTCCTATGATTTCTGCCGCCCTCCCAACATATACTATTTATATTCATTCTGATTAGCGAAGCCCCCTACAATTTTACTTAGGGTAGAATATTATATCACCTAGAAAAGATGATACTATCTCTATGTAACCATTAGTTATTACTCAGTACGTCAACATCCTTTCATAATAATGTGTATTAAAAACGCTTCCATCAACATTCTTAGAGAGGTGCACCTATTTGTATAAATAATACAATAATATTCATATATGAATCAACCTATTCTTCTTGTTGGCACAGTATTTAATAATTGACTTACATCTATTGAAGTAGATAGTACCTTCAATATAGCTTTACAACAAGTTTTCGGAAGTTGCGACATGTGAAAAAAATAATCATCTATATTCAGTTAAACAAAGATTTTTAAGGACATCATCTTTCTTACTACTTATTGATGTCCAGAAATTGTGCTGATTACAAAAAGATAATAATTACACTTTCCGCTAAAAAGTTTTCCAGTATCCTAGCGACCATTAATATCCTAGAAACGAAGCTTTATACGACGAAATTCCACACTCATATATATATATATATATATATATATATATATATATATATATATATATATATAACCGGTGTATAGAAGCTAACTTTCTTTGATATACGATGAACGTGAAGCACTCAGCTGATAGAAGTCAGTTGTGGATCAGGACATGCCGGATGTCAAAGTTCAATTCGGAACTAGTCAGTTTTAAAACTACTAGATTGAGTGAACAGCAAAAATGTCAAGTAAACATATTTCAAATGAGACCAATCACAGGAAGAAAATTCAATGTACAGCATGCGAAAGTCATTATTCGACAAGTAAGCAACCAAAATGTTTATTTTCTTCTGTCAATTATGTAACTGTTAAGAGATTTCATATATTAAAAAATTTCTTAAAGCATTGGAAATTGATATTAACAAACATTGCCTAAAATAAATCCAGGTTACAATGAGCAACAAGATGTATGATCTATTCGTACAATACATTTCGAACAATCCATTCACACGCTAACTTGACATGCATACCTATATGACTTATAACAGAGGTTAGGTGGATTTAAACAGTAATCTTATTGATGCTGGGCAATGATTGTAGGTGAAATGAAGTTCTAGGTCACAGCAGGATGTGAACCAACAGCCTCCAGCTTACCTGCTTGGTGCTCCGCCTACTAAGCTACGAAATCCCGGGATTTCAGATAGTAAGACTGATAATGGTCTTTACAATAAAAAGTCGAAGTGTTAGTTCAGGCTGGAGAAGAAAGGCAGTATGTTAATTGCTCTTGGTATTAAAGCTGAGTTAACAAAGAAGGGCACTAACTGTTTCAGAATTCAGGTAGCTTACTTTGTACTATCCTGTAGACAAAAATGAAGTGGTCATATGCTACCGAAGTAGGTGTTTAATGACCGTTCTAGTGAGTTCTACATTATATTTCTATCACACAGTACTTTCACCACAGATTTAAATGAAACAATAGCGTATGCTGTAGTACGTGTAAAAGGATATTGCTGTCTTCATGTTTACGTGACTGCCACTTAGCTTTATCTGTAATTGTTTTCAAGCCGAAGTGACTGGAATGTCACTGTTTTGAGATACAGCAGTGATATGTATTCTTTGAAGTTAGAATCAAGCCTTCAAGAATTAACCGCCTGTTGTGGACATTGTACGCTTTGAAAACTATATGGATAAAATATGTCTTTTAGATTATCGACGGTTCATATTGGATTTATATTTGCCTTAACGGAATACATAGTGAGATCATTCTGATGCAAAGCATAGCATATCTAGATTATCCGGCAACGTACGATAATGCAATATTCAACTTACCACGAAGAATCGGTTCATAGTCGACGGGCCTACTAAAAATATAGTTTGGATCAATTTCACGTGGTCCTGCTTTACTCAAACAGAGATAAGCAGTTAACTGTCACAAAAACGGCTGGAAACTTATTAGTTTAAAAGTTGTTGCAAAGTTGATTTGTTCCAAATCAAGAATCAGGTAAATGGTATTAGTCTAGTGTGTTATGATAATGATATCTCGCTTACTATGAGACCTACTTCTGTTATCTATCTACTATCCACAATGATATACTTAAGAAAATCACCATTTTTGGAATTTCAAACGAGTCCCGGTAAACTGAAATATTTCTTGATGATGAACAATAGGGAATGGGTTCGATTCTCTCCAGGACTTTGGTATCGATTGTGATATTAAAACATTTCAAAGCAAGGTAAAAAATTTCCTCTTATTCTCAGGGTGAACAAATACAACCTCTTTAAGTTTGCATACTTATTGTTGTTCGTCTTTTGCGTTTCATCACTAAATTACTTCTTAGACCATCCGGACTAACATCTGAATTTGTCTATGAAGTTAAAACTCTCATCGGCACGATTCCCACATATTTTGACCAGAAAACGTACACTCCACAAGCACAGGAAGACTTGATAATATTTATTTAAGCAACTTATATTATAAGGGTGAGAATATATATATATATATATATATATATATATATATATATATATATATCAACATAAACGTTTATCGGGATTGAGTGCGTTGTGCATCGGGGAATTAATACTACGAGGACTGTTACGATCTCCAAACCTGCCGACTTTATCACATGTAAGTAACTAGACAGGATTATATGCAGTGATGGAAAGAAACAAGTTAGTGTAAACCTAAATAAATATCAGCTTTATTTGAAGACTACTTTAAATAAAATCGTGTTTATGTAGTATCAAATAACCTTGGATTATTAAAGTCTACTATTTTCATAACTTGCGTAAAATTCATGTATCTACCTAATCCTTGTTCATCTGGATCCTAGCATTTGACCAATAAAGTAGAAAAAACCGAAATGCAATCAGCAGTTGTTTGCATATTGATGAAGAAGGTAATGAGTCACGCCTGTGTGTGTTAATGATACTTAGACCTAAATAGATGGAGGAGAGTTGAGATACATAACTCATAGGTTGAAAGTCAAATACCTAGACCAATGTGTCACAGCTTCATTTCATCAATACCAATTAGATACTGAATTAATTATTTCCAGTAGTCCAGTTAAACACCATAAGATTCAACTAGTTTTGCTTCAGTGTGTTTTTGTATGGTATTCATTTACAGCAGTAATACTTAACACTTAAATCTTTTGTCTACTGTCGGATAGATAAGTGGTGAAGATCATTTTCTTTGGAAGAGACATGAAGAAAGGGAAGACATGGAAATTAGGCAAGTATGTCTTAGTGGATTGTTTGTGATATATCAAATATATATCTCCAAAAGAGTTATTTTTTAGTGAAACTTAATATCTTCCTTTTCAGTTTGTAGGTATTGGCCTATACCTTACCACTGATATGTAAAGGTCGTTTAACTATATCCTATATGGTCCATTTTCTTGCCTGAGTGAATTAGTTTATTCCTTGCAATTAATGTTGTGTTGTTTTTACCAAAGTATACATTTTCGCGTGAAGCTGTGGCCTATTGATTTAGGGAGATGACTTTCATCCAATGGGTCACGAATTTGAGGCCCATTTCATCTACAAAAGCATGGGCAGCCAGATGGTACCACTAGCCTTCAAGCACTAGGTGTGGTTCATTGATTAACTGCACGCATGTGTACTAGATTGATGAGTGCATTTCGACTTCAATACATTCTCGTAAGCTACAAAGAAAACTGTTAAAGAGTTTGCTCTTAACTCATCTTGTCGTGTCCGACTCGTGAATTATCACAGTAGCCACTTAATGTCATGCAAAATCGATATTCTGAGGAGGGATTCAGTCGGTAGGAAGCTATAGACCTACGTTTTGTGCTTGTTAGCGCCTATCAGCAAGACATATTTGCAATTCATGAGGAAAATTGTTTACTTTCAGTGATTAGAACCTGCGTTGGTCAGTGCTGAAATCAGAGACTTAACCACTTAGCTATTTAGATCACGTATATTAAGGATGACAGCAATTTACCATCATGGACAATGTGAAAATACACTTTCCCTTATAATACAGTGCACAGTTTAGTATCATGCCTTCTTTTGTCCGTCTGTATTGACTATTCTGTATGATGAAATAAGTGTATATGATTTAGGAGTAAATCGACACTGGTTGCTGAAATTGCTACCTGTTAAGATATTCAACACGACGGTCATCATTTTACTTTGGATACATAGAGAATTTTGATTTCCACATCACAATACTGTCACCTGTTTATTACAAACATGACACTATGAGTCAGAGTATGGTCAATTATCCCATCCTTCATTCAATTATTTCGTTTTATCAAAGTATTTGCTTTTTAGAATAATTTCTCTACACCACACTTTTCAAAAATGTGAGTTTAAAAATCTGTGCACAAACTATTGGATGGATATTATAATATTCGAATTCTAACTGATACTATTTCTACACATGACTATTTGTCTTCATTATTCTGATTAGGTTCTTGAACAATTTTCTGCAATTATCAACGAAAATGAACACGGTGGTATAATAATCAAATGCAAAGCGACAAAATATTCTCGAATGAAACAGTCTGTATACGATGTAACCAATCGATTACGTGAAATGATATTAGCGAATATGATGGCGTTTAACATTAAAACAGATGGTCGATATAAACTGATTGTTTATGTGATTCATGTAGATGATAATTCAGAGAATAGTTCATCATCGCCTTCATCTAGCATTTTAGTTACAAGTCGTGGATTATGCAATAATGAGACAGACTGTTGGGTATCTGATACCGAAAGAACTGTATACGGACAATTTATTGCGGTTGTTTATGCATGTTATCATGAATAAAATCTATTTTATGAATATAATTTTATCTCTAACAAACCGAAGGACCGTATAGTGGTACACTAAAGCATGTGGGCGGATTTGATTATATGTTCGCAAATCTAACATTGGTAGAAAATGTTACACCGTGAAGTGTCTTTTTTTAAAGCAGAAAAATATAATATCCTAGTGATTTAAAAATTTTTAGGCATTTCATAAATTTTAAATCATAGATTGAAGAAAATATACTGAAGTTGAGATCAATGAACACTCAAGAGACGGTCTTGTTTCGTTTAATAAATATTCTTCATTTACTAGGAATTACAGGTTGTAATATAATGGAGATTATTCAGTCGTAAAAGTAACTTGGAAAATGAACAAAGAAAAATGTTATCGATAAATCCCTCTGAGGTCAAGTAGATACAAATCATACTACTGAATATACATATATAATCGTAACTGAGTTTACGAAGAAGAGATTTATTACGAAATGAGTATTGGAAGAAGTTAGCAGAATTACCTTTTCAAAGATTTTGAATATCAAACTGACTAAAATGTGTTATATGGGATGATTACTTGCACGGAATAAGTACAAAAACATATCGAACAAAAGATATTGTACGAACAGAGTCTATATGATAGAGAATTTAGATATTTCATTTGAAAGTCTCACCCAGAAGCCTGATATTTCAGACACGTCTGCGGGCAAACACTTACAAACTAGTCTCATCTGAACTGAACAACTGCTTTATTGCTAAATCGATAACCAGTGACAGAATAACATAAGTGGAATAAAATGGTGAAATCAATGAATTCTTTAAAATCTGCTTGTATCCACTTCAAAACGCTGTAGTCATTCAATCATCGAAGGTTACTGTAATCACTTGAAAGTAGTTGGTTGATGAACTGAATGATCTACTAATTGCTAAATAAAAACCGGTTGAAAAGTGAACTTTAGTATTGTGGATGAATTAGCCAAATAGCAAGAATTTTCTTCCTCCTTATAACAGTGAGCAAAAAACTTGATTTATCTATTCGTTCTTGGATTCAAGACATATTCACTTCTTTCATTTGGAATAGAGTATAGATTCAGAGATTAAAATGATGGAAACCTGGCGGCAGAAAGACAAATATTCAGGGAAACAACCGAAAAAAGTAAAATTACAGTGTATAACTATTATAAAGGCCAGATATCTAGACCCTTCCCAGGATGAGCAAACGTCACCAAACATAAGAACTGCTTATACTTATACGGATATACATGAAAACACTGTACACATGAATCTATGTACTCCTATTGACGGAGGATACCCCAAAGTCCCCGGGTGTCTACTTTAACCTACTTAACGGGGACAATAGCGAGTGCTCGGTCTTGGTTATCCTGTTAAGACTGGCCGTTTACCACGCTCATCACTGTACTAATATCAATTCCCTTCAGACCATAGTCAGACGGTGGCACCCGGGTATTTCGGGTCTTATTGTCTGCGTTCTTAGCAGACAATAAGCCAGGTTTCAAAAGCTATCTTGGTAATTTGAGTTCGCTTCTACGTAGCATCCAATGAATATAACTCTCTTACAGTCCAAGCTGTTTTCGCAGTGCAATAAAAAGCATTCTTCTATCTTTGTTCAGATAAAGCAATCGTCTTGGGTTGAGCAGAAGCATCCTTACTCTCAGTCAACTTAACAACGAACCACAGCCTACATCAAGCTTTCATTTTATTACTCACAACGCCTTAAGTAACGTATCGAGAATTCATTTAGTTAATGAGGGTGGATGCACCGTATCACTTAGTAATCTCGACACACTTTGAGTTTCAAAATCTGTAAAAGCATATCATAAGAAGGTTGGGAATAAAAGTGTTACGATATATAATATCTATCCCCTAATAGGTGGAGAAACTACGAGTCGCTGGACGTCCAGATTCAATCAGATCCCCTTGAAAATTAAATGAAATGGACTGAAAACATGTTTACAATGTCATGTTTCACGAAAATACGATTACTATATCGTGATGTGAAACTAACACCACTAACCACTAATCACTTTAACATTGTAAATAAACCTGGACGAGAAGGGATATGCAGTGTTCAATAGCATCTTTTATTGACTTTCCAACGACCGAATAGATTTAAAGACTTGAGTACAACGACATGCCTTTTAACCTTGTTGGAAAATGCATTAACTAGAAGCAACGTTGATCAATCCACAAACATCTCTAGTAAACGTGAAGGTTATAAAATACTGGTTATGGATCAAAAATGCAGTGAGAAGAAGTTAATTTAAATGCTAGATGATCGAATAAAGATGCTGGTGCAATTTTAAAGGCATCCTAAATTAACTACTTAATTGGATCAACTGAAATATTTTTTAGGAATTTCGAGTAAAAATTAAGGTCATTCGAAAATATTTAAAAAGAGCAGTATTTTGTACCTCGTTTGGACGTCTAATGAACTTTCACTTGTTTTTTTTTATCACCTTTCCGTTTTCTAGGGACCGATGAAAGAGAATGAAAATCACTGTATAAGTGCTCATATATTCACATCAACGTTCAATCTATATCAGAGAAGAAATAAGGTTCTTATGAGTGAAATTAAGAGATATATTACAGATATAGGATATAAAGCTGAAGTCATATAAATCATGCGAATAATGAAGTTACAAGCAAAAAGGAAAGTAATTAGGCTGCACAAGTTATTGATATCAATAACTTTTGACCTGCAACCTTTTTATCCAGAAAAGAGAAATGATTAGTCTTTCAATGCCCTAATGAACGAAATTGTTACAAGAATTAATTATTCGCCAACTCACTCATTTTCATCCAAACAGTTAAATTTATCTTCACTACATCGTAATCCTCGATTTATCATTTGGCACGCGTAAACAAACATCACTTCTTAGGTGGTCAGAAAGAATCGTTAGGAAGCAGAGGACTTAGGTTTTCTGCCTGTGGGTACTAGTAAAAAAGGCACATCTGCAAACTCGAGGAAACCGATGTGTCTTGAGAGATTCCAACCTGTATCACCTGATGTTTCAGTCAGAGACCTGATCACTGAGCTATTCTGGCCACCAACGACCTCCTGTAGATCTGGGTTAACTATATTACTTCTGTTAGTGACTAGTATCTCTTTTCTTGTTATTCTCTTAGATCATTTATGAGCTGAGTGTTTTCTGCATTACATTCAGAAAAATTCAACATATGAAGTACATCTAATATTTGTTAACCCTATAATTTTTGGATGTTTCTAGTTGGTGAGAAGCTTTGCAAAAGAATGAATTTATGTTATTCTGCAAACTTGGTTTTCAATGTCTTGTTCGAATTCATCAAAGGAATAAAATACTTGAAAATAAAGTGAGTAATTAAGTAATGCTTTAGTTTAGATTTGGTGTCATATGATATAATGCAGTAGGTCAGAAGATTCCTGTAACCAAGTATAAGTTTGCATTAGGTTTTTCCAACGTGTTTGACAACAGGTGACAGTACGGATGGAATTTATCTTTGGATTAAGTAAGTACTAATTTCTACAAGTTGAGATGTCAACAATCAGTATCTGAGTTTAACTGCAGCACGAAAACACCGAAAGACATTCATTTTTCACTAAAAAGTACATCTGTATTATCTACACCTGACATAAGCAAACAAATCGTCCAAGTAAAATCCACATAAAACTGATCAATAAAGACAAGCAGATATATACAACAAATCGCCTAGAATATCGTCTTTCAACTTTAATAAACTGTAGAAAGGTGTATTCAAAATATCGATCTTTATATTGCTAGAGTTCTCTGCACAGAACAACTTATTTTTTCAAGGAATTAATTAAGAGACTAATTACCTTGGATGGTTAGACACTAAAAATTAGAAAAAGGTAAAATATACATTACAGGAACTGGAAGGAGAAAATCGAATCAGTAGTTGATCCATTAGAAATCATTGTTTGAATGGAATAGTCAAGTGAATTGTATAATACTAATTATTCCCGACACTATGCATTACTAATAAATACAAAAAATATAGAAACAACATTTGAATTTTATTAAAATTAGGATTTTTACATTTAAATGTTCAAATGACTAAAGTATTACATAGACTTGTGTCTGAGATTATTTGATAGAATTATCTATCCACTTTCATTGCACTCAGTGCATAATTTACTGATAAATTTGAACGCCAAGACCATCGACAAGTTAATGGATTATACTGCATACCAATAACTTGACGTGGTTGTAAGCCATCTATGAAAAGTAAAACCAAAAAATAAATATATATAGTTTGAGGTTTATGGGAATTTAATTTTTTAAGGTAGTATTCATCATGAACTGATATTATTTCGAGAACCATTAAAAACCTGGGAGTTCTGGACAGCTAGTTGGGGTTTAATGGTTCACGGTTTTTTACTTTTGTCAATTCATGCAATATAGCGTAACCATACACTTCGCTTCCACCTGCTTAATCCAGAAGTTACAGATTTTTATTAGTAGGAAACTGTGGAGCATTAAACCAAGTTGGTCCAGTAGTTGAATGGTTACTAACCAGTTCGTCTTGAAACCAGAAGGTTTTGACTTCGATCCTTAATAAGATCGTGAGTGCATACTGTTGTGGACAAAACAGCTGTCTATAACTCTCAGGTTTTCAATAGTTCCCCAACTAATATCAGACTGTGATGAATACCACCTTAAAAATATGTGTGGTTAATGTAACATTCAGCTGAATAAACAAAGACACTATAATGACAACAGATTCTCGTTGTCTCTTAGGGTGAGATTGAGTATTGTCCGAGCTTTCATACCTTTATCTTCGTTCATGAAGATTTTACTACCAGACTAAAAAAAAATCCTAATTACAATTAGCTGTTTAGTAAACAAACAGACCAGGAAAAATATCTTACAAAGTTCATTTAATAAGAGAATAAAAAAGTATACATTACAACAATGCAGTATAATGGGAACATTTCGATTATCATCAGCTTGATGCCAGTGAATAGATTAGGAAGGAAAATAGAGAAATTATCATTCCGACATTTCAGTTCACTAAAAACGAAATGGTTATGCAGAAGAGAGAAAAAACGCATGGAAAACCCTCAGACGGAAGTTATTTCTGTAAAAACCAACGAGCAATAAGAAGACTTATACTAGGTGATGATTGAAGTTGAGATGAAAATCTGGACCGTGGCCGGACTCGAACCAGCTACCATTGAGTTATCTGCCTGAGACTCTACCAACTAAGCTACGAGATCCGGCTGCCAGTTACGTTTTTATCTCACTTTAATCACCAAGGGTTTCGTCCGATCACCATGTGAATTCATGATGCGTTACTACCACTTGATCGTATTCACACTGGCTGCCTAGTCAAAGCTTCTCATCCGAATCCAAAATGGGGTGAAACGAAAATCTGGTTATCACTCGGACCTCGTAACTCAGTTGGTAAAGCACTGGGCCGGTAACACAACGGTCACTGGCTCAAATCAGACCGTGGTCCAGATTTTCATCTCACCTTCAATCATCACCTAGTATAAATACTAGTCTGTCAAACTACGGCTATCTCAGATAGTCAAATGATAATAAGAAGACTGTATGATGCGAAACTAGAAAGAACATTAAGCAGAAAGTAACAGGTACATACATATGAAGCCTATTCGGATAAAACTTACGTTTAATACAAGCGAACTGTAGTCGACTTGGTTCAATGAATTTATTCCATTCATGAGTACCGCGTGGAACAATGCCGACTATGTATTCGGCAGCAACAATACCAAGTAGTAATGATGTTGTGGTATGATTTATTGTCGTCACAAATAGCATCCCTCCTAACTACAATCAGATTGAAGAAGAAAAAAGACATGTCATTCCATCTATGAAGAAGTTATCATGAAATTCTGTCTTGGGACAAAAAATCATTCTGATTATTACTGTTATTGCAATAGCCAAAAGTGGTTTAATTCGGAGGTATGTGGGGATTTATTGATTAATGTCGGATTGATATCCATCATAGACTGACATTAGTTGAAGAATCGTTGAAGACCTGGTAGTACTGGACAACCGTTTCGTCCTAGTATGGGACTCTTCAGCGTTGTGTACCTATGACTCCACCAGGGATTGAACCCAGGGCCCTAAGGTTTCACTGCGAGAAAGTTACCGATGAGCCATGGGGTTGGAATCTAATGATTTACATTTCCTACTTCCATGCTTATTAGTGGCTTGCTTCGAGATGATATTCCCAAACTTCTAATGAGAAGTCGTGACCGGTGGAGCTAATCAAGTTATTCAACGACGGCGTTGGATAGAGGTTGTGCAGTATTGTGAACTCATGCAAGTAGGAAATTTGAATCATTTCATTCTAATCCAGTGGCTCAACGATAACACGCTCGCCTTAAAACCTGAAGGTCCTGAGCTCGATCTCTGGCGGGATCATGAGTGTTCACCGCTGAGGAGTCTCATACTAGGACGAAACAGATGTCCAGTGCTGTCAGGTTTCCAACGGTTCTCCAACTGATGTCAGTCCATGATGAATATCAGCCTGAAATGAAAAGTGGTTTGTCGCGTTTATTTTAAAACTGATAAACGAGTGAGTCAGTAACAATGTTAAACTAATTAGTCTGATGATGATAATAAGTTTATGCTGAACAGGTAAATTGACAGCTAACACATAGATATGTAATGGTCGAGTGAAACATTGCCATTGGAATGCATTTCTCTTACCAATCAATCTAAAGATTATTAAGACAGTCAGTAGAAATACAAAAACTACTATATTCAGTCAAGTTATGTAGAAGATAACCAGTGCCAAAAAAAACAAGGAGTTAATAACATGAAGAGAGGGACTATTGTGGAGAGTTTATAACTATGAACAGCCTCATGTGTAAGTAACACATAAATGACAGGATCATCTTTGAAAGATAGTGTTCTTCATAAAAGATTGACGCAAAATACAAACGGATCATTCAAGCGTTTTGACAACTCCAGAATTTTCCATCTCACCAGATATAAATAGCCATAAATTTTGACTAAGATATGTAACTATTAATTCTGTGTTTCCTTGACTTACTACCTTATTGTTAATCCCGGATTTCAAATCTCCATCTATTTCTGCGTGCTTAAAGTATGTTATGTTATTATTACTACTACTAATTCATCTCAATTGTAGGTTGTTTGCAGCTGATGAAGGGCCATGAAATAGAATGAGCTCGTTTAATTCTGCAAATTTCTTTGTTCTTGCACTGTTCAAATTTATGAAGGGAACGAAATGTATGGCAAACATTTAATCGTCAAAACTTTATTTCAGTGAAAAGCTCAATCGTACATACCATCAAAAGCTATTCACTTTGCTTAATTGTTAGTGATTAAAGATTTAAAGACTTGATCCTATATACTAAAAGTCAATTAGAAAGGAAGCAAGGTTTCTAGTTTGTCGGTATTCATTAACAAGACAAATGTGTAGCCCTAAGAGAACTGGGGAAAAGCGGATTTTCCAAAGACTACAGGCACACGTTGTTGATGGGTGCCAAAAAGCATAAAAGATATCTAGAGTTTCATGCTGACTGAATCCCAATACCAAACAAAAAACAGGTCACTACAATGGCACATCACTTACTTTAATGACCACATTGTAAAATCGGTCGATAAACTTAAACGAGCAGTCAGAACATCAACCAATAGCTACATGTGTTACTATGTAATGATCGACTTATGCATATGAATATTAGTAAACAGTGATAAGAGGTGTATAGTATATTTCAGTGAGGCCAAGGTTCCCACTCTTAAAAATAACATTTCTGTGACACAAAGAATTTGTCTTAGGTAGTCAAAACTCTTGATATTTCACTTCATACTACTGAATGGTATATATAACGCAGTGTTAAGTTGAGGAAGCTCTAGATACTGCGAAAGATACAATATGCTCAGGAGAAACAAAAATAAGAGAAATAACTTTGATTTTTACCTTACTTTGTTACTAAGCTCTCGGAGGAAAACGACCAATTATGAATAAAAGAACATGTGAAACTAAGCCTGTACTCACTAAACTGATAAACATGAGAATTTTGTGTAACAGTGTACGTAAACTAAGTGAGTGAGTTCTCTATGACGAGCTCCTGTCAACTATAGCACGGATGAAGAATACAGATATTCTAGCTGCAAACCTGAGTCAAAAACTCCTAGAAGACATCAGTCGTATACTAAACACTGAGTGATCTAACTGACTGCTTTTTTGTGTGTGGAATTGTGGCTCACTCGTTCAGGGAGACGACTTTCAGTGAACTGGTCACGAGTTCGAGCCTCGCTCTACCAACAGAGGTTTGGGCAGCCAGGTATTAGCATTGGCTTCCACACAACAGGTGGGGTTTATTGCCTACTTCACGAATGTGCACAACGTTGCTGAGTGAATTCGAGATTTGATTCGATTGTGAGTGGAAACGAAGTAACTTCTCAGGCAAACATTAATTTCTTTCCCTGTAATATAGTCTACTTAATTTACCAAATACACGACGTTTTGGTCGAAAACACACACTGAAAACCAGAAATTACAACAGTTGACCTACTATTGCCACAAAAAGTTACATAAGAAACGTCTCTGCTAGATAATACTACAGTAACTGAATGCTTGACAGGTTATTGGTTGGGCAGAAGAATGTAACAACTTATTATTGATATAATTTCTAGTTTAGCGGGGACTGACTGATTTCAAGGTAGCATTCGTCACAGACGGATATCGATTCGAGAAACAGTGAAAATCTCGGAGCACGGGAAATTTTTTTGATTCTACTATATAACTTCTCAGCAGTGGACACCTACGACCTCACCAAGAATCGAACTCAGCCTGTGTCAATCCATGTTTTGTGGTGTTACCACGTGAATAACGCAGGTGTAGAGTTTTAGGGAGGATAGATAAGACAGTTGATGTGGTTGCAAACCTTCATCAACTGAAATGGTTGGGACATGGGTTACATATGCCCAGCCACCGTCTACCTCGTCGCACAATGTTGGTCGAAGTAGGTTCAGGCTGCGAAAAGGCTGGCGGCGGACAGACTAAAACATGACATCAATGCATGAAGTCCTTGAATGTTGGTTTGAGCCATATAGGGCGATGCAGACTAGCCGGTTGGGGTCCGTAGGACAAGAGAAGCCAGTAGCTGGAGACTGAGTGATATGGCTCAGAACTTGTCAGTGGTATAGATGTATACAAGCATTGTTCTCATCTCAACCGCTATACTTAATCTCATCATCTTATCCTCCCTTACTTTCTTTTACTACTTTCTACTTCTACCTCCATTGACCAATTTTTCTTTCCTTCTTCATTTTCTGCTTAATTGCTTTGTTACTTAATGTGCTAATGTGGGACGTGGCAACTTAGACCATTACGAAGTAATGCCTCGTCCTATGTTGACCTTGAATGACGATGACGTGTCAGGTCGTAACGACTGCTACCGTCAAGTTGATTAGTCGCTACAGAACTCCAAACTTAGTTACTGCCCGGTGCTTGTTAGTAACATGCTTCAACAACATGCTTTCCTGAAGTTCTAATGAAAAACCGTGACCTGTGGGATGAACCATGTTGAATGTGAGAATAAATATACTTGCTGATGGTATTGGCTGATGGTCACGCTATTTCATGAATTGATAAAAGTTAGAAAAAGAATGTGGATCACTGGACTTAGATTTAGTGGCTGAATGGTAACATGCACGCCACAAAACCTGACAGCTTTGGGTTCAGTCTCTTATGGGTCTTGAATGAACACTGTTTAAGGGTCCCGAGCTAGGACGAAAAAGCTGTTCAGGGCTCAGAGATTTCAATGGTTCTCCAAATGATATCAGTTCGTGATGAATACTACCCTGAAACTTATTCTATCATCAGTACAGTTTAACTCACACAAAACTCCACGAAACAAATGTCTTCAAGTTACACCTAAAAGCTATCTGTTCATACATTTAAGTTCCAGATGACGTTTTCAATCTTCAGACTAAACGTGAACTGCATGCCTCGTTCACAGTTCTGAAATCCGTAAGCCAGAAAATTAAACACATTGCATTTAACCCTCCATTATATCATTATTTGTATATATTGTGATCTAGATAATAGCCATTTAGATTTCTGTGAAATGACTTATCACTTCTATCGACTATGTGAAGTTCAAATATGCTCATCAGCTGTTGGAAATGAAGAGAGTATAGGAGTTTTCAAGACGTTAATACACAATGAATAATTCAGTTTAACATACTTTAAGTGAGAGAACAACAAAAAGATGTAAGCATGGATACATTACAATATTGATCAATAAGTGTTTCTTTAAGATATAGAGAAGCTGCACAGCAACCAATTACTACAAACATGAAATGAATATTACTAAAACTCATTGTTACCTGCAATATCAAACCAACAAATATAAAATATTTATGTTACGTTATTTTTCTTACTTTTAAGCAATCAGTTATGCTTTTTAACATGCCTTCCCAATCTGTTACATGTTCTAACACTTCAGATGCTACAACTGCATCAAAATGACACGGAGATTCTTGAGCGATTGTCTGTAAACTAGCCAACCGATAAACAGGTTTCTGTAAGTTTGAATGAGTTACCCAACGATATGAAGTTGCTTCAACATGTTCTTTAGCTGAATTTATACTCTCTTCAACTTGGTCTATGCCCAAAACCTGTGCACCTAGCATAGAAAGGGGCTAATAAAGTCAAAAAGGATTACAAGCAAACACAATCATATGGTCGTAAACAATTTTTAAACAGATCTAGCAACAGATTCCATGCATAATACATAAATGTTGGATGAAACCGTTTGAAATTTAAAACATAATACCAAATGAAATCATGTCATTCATTTAAACCTCAGTAATGTTTCACTTAAAAGATAGGTTACATAAGCACAAAGCTGATGTATCAGATTGGTAACATCTAAATGAACTAGTTCCACGCATATATAGTCTAAAACTTTGATGAAAATAGTAAAAGTAACAAGTGTTCATGAATAACACATTGGTAGAAGCCTAGTTAATGTACGTCGTGATATATGAGAGCGGATAGACGCATGATATCAATCAGGCTTTTCAGAAGGAATAGTGGCGAAAACTTAGATAAAATGCAGGTCACATAAGTTGACCATATGTCAGACAGACATAAATGACGAAAAATCTAACATAGAAGTGCATTGGCTCAAGTTGACACACTTCACAGTAGTATACAAAGAAAAAGTGGACAGAATAAAAGTGATGTCAAAGTAGAAAAAGATGTGAAAGAGAACAAGCAATTCGAAGATAACTGTTAGTGCAGATATACAAGATTTAAAAGACCTCTGCAAGTTTATGATCCATTTTCATCCACATCACCAAACGTTCACAACCACTAATTCCTATCGTCTTGAGGACTCACATCATATAGTCTACATCTACCTATACGGCTGAGACTGACAGTCAGAGACTTTATCAACTGATGCCACGTCATAAACTGGACATCGTAAACCCTATTACTACCTCATCCAACCTCCTCTAGCATGGGAAGTCGATGCAGACGGCGCCTCGAAACGCGCACCATATTTGAGAGTCACCTCAACCAACAAATAATCGCAACCTCATCAATCAACTTGCTAATCTTGCGTAGTAACATTCACCTGACCTCAACATTGCTAAGACGATGATTACACCAAACGTGAGCAATGCCACGAATGCACCTGTGTTCAAACACATGTAACCGCTCCATGTCTTCTATTTCAACGGCTAAGACTCATAGCTATATGACTGAACAGAACGGACTGCAGAACAGTATACTTATCCTTTGATTAATAGTCAGAAATCTCGTCAGTCAGCACCACAGATGAGGCAAGTTGGAACAGGCCGAATAGACCTTCTGTATCCCAGCTGACGTTTCGTCAACAACCAACCCGTTCTGAATGATGCGACTCCCCAAGTGGGTGAAGTAGCCGACACATTCCACAACTTCACTCCCTATCACTAAACTAGTAGTTTAAGACCAGTCCTGAAGCATCATCTTACATTTGATAGGTGCCAAATGCATGCCAAAAATATTCAAATTTCTGCTCAATGTGTCAGCGACTTGACCTAGCAGGACAACGTCGTCTACATACTCCAACTCCAACAGATGATGTCCAGGGAGTACATCTATTCCTGCAAAGTCAGAAGTACTTGAGGTTATGTCCACTAGTACGTCTATAACGAAGTTGAACATAAACAGTGACAGTGGGCGTCCCTTCCAAACACCTCTAGTTGTCGTCAATTCACACAACAACTCTTTATATCTCCTCACACGCCTGAGTGAGTTCCAGTAGACAGCTTTGATACTCGGTACACCTATCACAGTTAGACACTGTCACAACACATCTCGATAGACAGAATCAAGTGCCACCTTTAGGCCAAGAAATATGGCAAGTGTCGGACGCCCGTAGATATGCCTGTATTCCAGAACCTGTCGAAAGTCAAAATATGACCAATACAACCTCTTCTAGATCTGTGAACTGCCTGGTTTACTCGACTTCGCTGTCCTCAAGTGCAGCGCCAATTAGGCACCGCATAACCATGGGTCCTAGGATCTTTGACACAACACTAGTCAAATTAGTTCCCCTATGGTTGTCACAAAACGATTTCTCCCCCTTCTTATAAACTGACATGATCAGTCATGTACACCAGTCTGACGACACTAACTGTGGTTACCAAACACTATTGTAGTAACTCCATCACCCAAAGCAGCAACTTCCTACCTCCACCCTTGAAAGCTTCAGGTGGCAAACTGTCAGGTGTCTGTTGTTTTGTATCTTTTCAGGTTCGATACAGCTTTTCCAACTTTAGGGAGAGTTGGAGGGCCGACATCTACGTCCCATTCAGGTTCAGGCTGAATGTTGGGTAACTGAAGCGTTGCTGAGGGCCAGTTGAACTGTGCTTCAGTGTTCTGCCTAACGTTCGAGCCTCCTGTCCTGGGAAATTACCGGCGTTACATCCTTTTCCTCGACGGTTTCACGAAATATCGTTTTCTGTTTCTTGCCTGTATCCTTAGTAAATCTAAAAGGTTGCCAGGTGCTACCCAATGCTGATGCCTTCTCCATCTCCTTGGCCACCCACCACTGATCACGACAGATTCGAAGAATCTAGAGCAATTTATGTTTGAGTTACTTCACTTTGCACTGTGGTCAGAGCCTACTGAAATCAGTCTTCTGGCATCAATCAGTTCGGATGACCTTGAAGAAATCCGGCGACGTTTGCTAACCTTTGGCTGTAGGTTATCAACTGTCTCAGCCGCTGTTTCTACAGCAAACTTAATACCAGGTTTCCCCAAGATGAGCATTGCTGTCTTGTTCATAAAGATGCTCAGCTAAATCCTTCCTAAGTACGAACTTGGCGTCCCTGCCTTCCAGTGGACCACAGATAGGCTTTACTATCACCTGTTTCCCGCGACCAGTAAGGCGCAGACATACATGAGCCCATACTAGAGCTTGATAGGAGTCCAAACTGAGACGCTAGAAAGAGTGACTATCCCTCACTTATCCGCTCCAACGATGGCTTACAGCAATATGGTTTATCTGTGCCCACCGTTGTTTTGAGGTCGATGGACACAATGTGAGACAGTTTCTCTTCTCATGGCTAAAGTTAGTGCTGGTCAGAAAAAAGTGATTGTCAGAGTAATACTGCAACAGACGATCACGGTTACCGGTTTGTTGGCTTGGGATTCTATAGCGAAATTGATAACTGATGATAGAATTCACCGCTTTTATCTTCCGAACTGCAGTTGGTGGGAGCATAAGCGAAGACTAAGAATAGGCATCGCTTTTTCTTGGACCACTACGACTATTTATCATCTTATTTTATGAAAAATCTATTAGCAAATCATACATTTTACCGCCAAAAATTGCATATTACTAAATTTATTGAGCAGTTTCTTTAGGCATTTAAAGGGCTGAGCAGCTGATTGATTCAATCTTTAAAGATTACCCGGTTATAACGTACGAGTTAACGTAACTTTTATCTACATTCTTGTCTACTATTCTTAGAAATTCTCCTAACCTGCCAGGAAGATGGGTCAATAAAACGATCCATCTGCCAGGAAATTTGCATTAGCAAGACATTACCTTAACTACAATATTTCCTGTTCACTTTTTTATGAACCGGCATTAATTAAGTATTTGTTCAACCGGATTCAGAGAGCGCACACAAATGACACTAGACGAGAAAATGCAAAAGCTCGTCAATGTATTATTCAGTAACAATTATCCTTCAAAATTTATTAGTCGAAACAGAAACGCTGAACTCAGAAGACCCATCGTTTTGTCAGTTCCAAAGAAAGGTATTTATATCACGCTATTGTATAAGGGTGATTCACAGTAAAACAAACAAACAAATACTTTAGGCAGTCATCTGGAGAACACACTCTGCTGCAAACGTCAACATCATGAAGAAAACGAAACCGATGTATTCCTGTAAACCCTTGCATTTTGACGATAAAATTATATCCAATAGCGTTTATCAGTTTACGTATGGTCACATATAAATAGTGAAGACCCTTAGACTGATGCCAGTAAGAGCTACAAAGCACATCTCCAAAGTGGCTGTAATAACAAATTAAATCAAATGGTCCCACTGAACCAAGTAACAAATGTCCAACTTCGTCTGCAATAAAAAATATCTCATTGAAAGATGTCGCAAAGTTGATTTTTAGGCATCTTTCAAACCTGTTTAAATAATCGATTAAGGACATACCTAAGCTCGCTAAAACTCTAGATATAAGAAAGTTGAAACCCAATTTATGCATTCAAAAACAATTAGTTGCTACATTAAACCCAACTTGGCAACTAAACTTTTGATACCAAAGGTGAATATGCTATCTTTCTATTCTAGTCTAAATTATCACTTCGACCCTATATTATAAGGATCATTGCTCAAATTCATTTATCTTTTGTCATAATTCATATAAATTGCATGAAAAGTGAATGTGTGACCAAACTGTTCAAAATTTACTTTACATTTCAAGTAAACTACGTTTTCTCATTGTTTTGTCGAAATTTATAGGCGATATATTCCACAAATTCGGTGTTCATTTCGCTCAGGAACTATTCTATCTTTGGAAATTCAGTAATCTTGTAAACATGTGATGCTTTTATTCTTTTCTGTAGCAACATCAAAATGTTCGTGATATGTTCCAGATTTTAAAAGAATAGAATAGTGTTATGGACATGCTCAATTTCTATGGAACCTGTCAGTTAATTACCTTAAATCTTTAAATATATTCTCCACCGTTGTCTTTGGTGTTAACCAGTTCATGATAATGAATTACTCAATTGCGATAATTAATAGAACATTATTAGAAAGACAGGATTTGTGTGTTCTCATTGTGTATCCGAAGGTAAAGATCACAAAGACTTTACAGTAAAAGATGACAAATCCACAATAGACTTTAGTGTTTTTAGGTCGCACAATTTATTATTATTTGTCCCTTGGGTTCCTAATGGAACATACGGCTTCAGTAGCACGTCTCCAGTGAACTCTGTTCCCTGAGATCTTATGAACCTGGCTCCACGACAACCGACAAGCTCTCATTTCCTCCTCGCATGATTTCCTCCATGTCACCCTCAGATGCCCAACTAGTCGCTTCCCATCTGGGTTCCACTCGAGTGCGCGTGATGTCCCCAGTTGGCCTTCTCAGTGTATGCCCAATCCATCTCCACTTCCTTCTGAATATTTGTTGAGCGATAGGTTCTTGGTTGGTTCTTTCCCAGCTAGCCAGATTTCCTTGTTGCTTATTATTTCTGGCCATCTGATCTTCAGTAACGAGCGTAAGTGTTAGCTAGTAATAGAATCTGCTAATATAGACGATAAAAATAATTGTATGAAGGAGATATTTTTGTTGTACGACTGAAGTATACATTTGAAGAAGCTAGAAATTCGGTTTCATATGATCGCTTTATGTTATTTGTTAAATCTGTACAGTTTCAGTGTATTCCGTTACCTAAAGTGGAGGAAATCAGTGATGACAAGAAGGCCTAGTCTTTGGCTTTCAGATGTTTTAGAACACGATTCCGAATTAGTAAACTTTAAAAGCTAGATCTTAGGTTCTTGTATCTAACTTCGATTTTTGGACTCTAATTGCTAACTGTATGTAAATATAAAGATTGCATATAATACAATTTATACTTTGATGAATGAACACTAAAGAAACATGATGTAATGTAAGAGAAAAACTTGGACTCTGTGGTAGAGTATAATTCCATAATAGACTGTTAATTTAGTATATTAAACAGTGGTACAGTATTATCTACTGGATGATATTTCAAGCACAAATTATCACTCATATTCATATGGATGTAATCATATGACTTTCAAACTTCTTGGTTGTATTGTGTTAGTGCTGACGATGTCGTCTAGAAAGACGATGAAAGCTCCACGATAAAACAACCTAGCTCAGAGAACAAAATACAATGAAGATCATCCACCTGAGTTACAAATATTCTCCACCACTTCACTTTGAGACTTCTTTTATGTAAGTTAAATAGTTCTTCATTCTTTTGTTTGAGTAGTGTTAAGATTTCCACAATTTCTGTAATATATGATAAGTAATTACTATTACATGTGTTAAGTGTTGATTCGAGGAACAAAGATTCTGTAATCAATCTCTCCATCTACCGAGTTAGATTAGACTTTAGAATTGCTCAATAACAGGTCTGTGATGCCCTTAGATGTCCGAGGCCACACGTACGCTACAATGATGGTGTCAGAGAGTCTAGAAACCTAACGCAAGAGGGTTTGGGAAACTGTTTCATCACCCTCGTGACTGAGATCGGAGCTTGCGATTATTCCCCGTGAACAAGGAATTCCTGGTAAGTGCAAGTCATAAGCTTGCGCTGATTACGTCCCTGTCCACTGTACACACCACCCGTCGAAACTATCGATTGAATGGTTCAGTGAAGTAGTTGGATTATATATATATATATATATATATATATATATATATATATATATATATATATATATATATATATATATATATATATATATATATATATATATATATATATCAAGCTGATGGCAAGGGTGTTTACCTAAGCGAAATATGTGGGCTGAAGGTTTATTCTCATGTCAACGGTACATAAATACGGTGTGCTAAGACATGCCAGTAAAACTTTTATGTCAAAAAGGAAGTTCGACTTTTTTGTGTGATTATGGGTTAGGAAAAGCAGAGCGATAGTTGGGTTTTTCCCTAAATTGCTTATATTGGTAGGGTCTATCCTTGCGTTTCGCTAAGCATTTGTGTTGCGTTGTTCTAACTGATTCCGATTGGCTGCTTTGACTTATGTACCTGATTTCACAATCACCACATGGTAGGTTATTTTTCCTAATTAGCTCTACTGGATATTTTAGCCTACAAAGTTTCTCTCTGAGTGAGTTTGCGAGTTTAAATGCCATCCTGATTCCAGTACTGTTAAGCACCCTAAGCAAAATTCTCGATGTACCTTCTATACATAGCAATAGTATAGAGGACTTGAATTCTCTTTTAGTCACGTTGCAATTAACATAACTATTAATGAAAATAACCTATCCCATCAAATACCATGTAATATTTTTGTGAGGTCAAGCAGCAGTAGGTCAAAATAGTCAATCAGGGTCGGTAAGGATAGTAGAACACAAAAAGTTAGCGAATCGTAAAATTATAGTTCCTACTAAAATAATTAAATTAGGGTAAAAAATACCAGCTACCGCTCTTCATGCACTGATGCATAATCACACTATAAGGTGGGATACAGTGATAATTCTAAAGCCCAATATAACTCGGTAGATGGAGAGATTGATTACAGAATCTTTGTTCTTCGAATCAACACTTAACACATGTAATAGGAATTACTTATCACATATTGCAGAAATTGTGGAAATCTTAACACTACTCAAACAAAAGAATGAAGAACTATTTGACTACATAAAGGAAGTTTCAAAGTTGTATGGTTTGTTTGATATGAATATAAGCAATAATTTGTACTCAAAACGTCATCCAGTAAATAATACAGTATCATTGTGTACTATATCAAATCAATAATCTTATATGGAAAAAGATGATTACACGAAATATTAAAACTAACCTCTGTTAGAATACCACCACCACAGCCAACATCTAATATCTTTTTGTCTTTTAACGGTAAAAAAACTGAACCAGTTATCGGCTCTATAGTTGAAGGAGAGAGACCATTTTGAATAAATGGTACACGTAAACGATTCATTGTATGCAACGGTTTAAGGTCTCCTTCAAAGAAACATAATATTACAACGCAAAGACAGAAGTTACAGAGGGATTTTACCATAGACAAATTTTAAACATGAAGTTACATTCTCATGTAAATGATGATTTACTTAGCAGGTTAATGTACAATGCAAATAAGTATCACATATCAGTCATAGGAATATAAGGTGGTTGAAGATAACTGAAATCATGATTTTACATTACCCTAATTATTTACTTATGTGTAAATATTGGAGTCAACCAATCATATGTCATATTGGACTAGATATGCGACTTTCAACCAGTAAGCCACGATATTAACCACCGTTTCCTATATCGAAGTCTTGGAAATGAAGTATTCTCGTCAGCCTTTATACACCAGGTATGATACATCGCTTATAGCATGAGCGTGCACATGATTGGTCAGTCCATTATTATTTTTTTTTCAACGAATCAAAGCTGGTTTAAGTAAGTTCAACTGTTACATAACGCATAATTCAAGAGTAACAGAGATTTTTATGGAACAGAAAAATGAGGGTGATTCTTATCGATGAAGATTTAGTGTATCTTGAAATGAAACAATTTACTACAAGTCAATTTATAATGAATGTTTATACACAATGCTTCATTTTCTGAGTTTTGATAATATTTGAAATAAAATTCCTACTATAAATCTAATTTAACGAGTGCTTATTTTGATCGAAATAATGACAAAACTAAAAATCTCATCATTTTGTGTAAATATTCATTTTAAATTTATTTACTATAAATGAAGTGTGAGTCGATGATAGAATAAAAATGTAACTGAAGCACTTCAATGCAAAGAAATACTTTACATGCCCCTGTGAAATACGCCATCACTGAAATATATATCTATATATATTAGAAAGGCAGGATTACCAGAAAGATTAAGATTTTCAGAAAAGAAACACTTTCTGACAGATACCTCGATTATCAGTCTGCACATCCTGTGACTATTAAAGTAAATGTCTCACGGAATCTGGTCAGCAGGGGTAACCGTCTTGTTACAACGAAAGAGGATAAAGAAGAAGAGTGAAAGTTAGTTTGCCACACACTGGAAGCAAACCATTATCCCAAAGGTTTCGTTAAACATATTTTAAAAAAATGAAACTAAGGGTCTGCCGAAACTCCCTCTGAAGAACCGGATAAGCACTGTCATAATCACATACCGTAAGGAGACTTCAGAAGAAATAAGAAGGATTCTTAACAAACACGATATAAGAGTTTATTTTCGTGCAGCAAATACCCTACGTTCTAACTTAATGAAAGTTAAAGATGTAGTACCTAAAGAAAATCAGCAGAACTGCGTTTATGAAATCAAACGCGGAGCTTGTACTGCAGTATATGTAGGGGAAACAGCCAGGCAGGTAAATGTAAGAGTGAATGAGCCTAAACTATGCTTAAAGCAGATCCCGAAAACTTCAGCAGAGATTAAAAAACTAGAAAACGAATCCGCAATTGAGCTACACTCCATAGAAATGGGACACAAAGTTGACGGAACTAAGGTTCTACAAAAAGGTTTTGGGTCATACCAAGAAAGATTGACAGCTGAGGCCCTACATATATGGGCGAATCGAGACAATTTGAATAGACGAGATGCAGTACAGTTAGCTGCCTCTTGAGAATTATTAATTAGTTAGCAGAAAGAGTGACACAAAGTATTTACCGTCAACACCAGTTTCAACTTTATTATTTCTGCATCAGCAACAACAACATAATCTGGATTGATTTGATTCACTATTACTACCACCATTTTAATCACCACCGTCATTATCATTACTCATTTCCACTCTTTTTTCTGGTAAATCAACTGAAAAATTTGTTAATACTATTCACCACCATATTTCAACTGAAATTGCATACGTATCCACCTTATCCATTCCGTTGTACTTATAAAATTACCGAATGACTATAATGCCACCAGTGACCTTCTTGTCTGATATTTACAATCAAGACGAATATGAATTGATGTACATATATGCATACACAAATAACATACATACATACATACATACACACGCCATACAAGAAAAGATATACAATTTCATAATTTAGAAAGACGATGAATATACGAAGAGGATTGGACAAGAAGATTAAATACACTTTTTTTGGATTCATTTATATATCCTTGACGCTTTAATTTTGATTATTCCCGTGAAGAAGCTCGGACTCGATTTTCGCGCGAAACGTTGGAATTATTTGATTTCAAACCACTGTGACTTACACAAATGTAATCTGTGTCTAATGTCAACCTTTCATTCAGTGCCCAATATTTGCTAAACTGTACGATCAAATCTTGACCATAGTTTATATAAAACAAATATATTTACTTTGAAGTTAGTGAGGACTTTAATTTTAAGGTAGTATTCATGACTAACTGACATCAGTTGGAGTACCATTGTAAACCTGGAAGTACTGGACAGCTGTTTCTTCTTAGTATGGGGCTTTTCAGCAGTCGCATTATATTGCGAACTGATAGAAGTTGAAAACTGTGGACCATTGAACTTCAACCCAGTGACTGAATGTTTTAACCGCGCTCATTGCGAGACATGAGGGTTCTGAGTTCAATCCTTGGTGAAGTCATGGGTGCGTACTGGTGAGGAGTGTCACGCTAGGGTGAAACAGATGTCCAATGCTCCCAGGTTCTCGATGGCTCTCCGACTGCTGTCATTTTATGATGAATGCTAGCTTAAGAAATATATTCATTCGGGAACGACAAGTCGTACTTGAACTTATAAAGGTTAATTACTCACATTTTTCGTATACGGCACTAACTATGCAAGTGTCAAGACATATAAACATTATCTGGAGATAGTAAGTACTAAAGTAGCTTATTTTCAGAAGAAAACCCATTCACAAACATGTAACGTTTCATCTTGTCATGTGATATTACACATAATGTGTTTGGTTAGTAAGCATAAAATACAGGATATTTTAACAAAAAGGAAAGATTACATTGGAAGCAAGCAAGGTGACATCGTATTTATAACACTACATACATAAATATACATTGGAAATATTAGCCTATCCCTGAAACAAATAAAGTTTAACGATGGTTCGACTTTTTGGGGGGGAATAAAGGGCGATCCCTTGACCAAATGAAATTATACTACTAAGCTTGTTGTTACTTCATTAATCTCCAAATCAATAAATAGATCAAGTTAATAAATTTCATTTCATGATAACACCAGAAGTTAGACTATCATGAATGAATGTACCTAAGCTCTAGTAAGTGTTGCTATCACCAGTGTCCTTGGGCAATGAAAATTGAAAAGGTTGAAAACTAGGTCGGACAAACAAAACCAACGTAGAACTTTGTACATAAGTATATCAGCTCAAACTGCCACAATTTACAGTAGAACACAAAGAACAAGTGGATACAAAAAACTGATATCAAAGTAGAAAAAAAAGGTATGGAAGGAGAGTTAAACCAAAACATTCAAGCTTAAGAAGGCATCAAATAGAGAATACATCCGCATCACTGTGAAAAATTTCTAGACAATTTACCAAGAATTCTCAACTACTGGTTCCAATAGTCTCGAGGACCTCACTCGGACAGTCTACATCTCTTCACACGGCTTACACTAGCAGTCAGAGACTTAACGCACTAGTGCCATCTCTCAGTCTGGTCACTCTGAACTCTCTTCCAACCTATCCAACTTCTCCTGGCATGGCGCATCAAGGTAGGCGGTGGCTCCGCATTTGCAGCATATGTCCAAATCACTTCAGTCGATGTTTATTCACAACCTCATCGACTGACTTATCTTCCTGTCTAGTACACTTCGCCTGACCTCAACATTGTTCGTGTGCTGACTCCAACATACGCGAGCGATGCTACGCAGACAACTGTGATCGAAAACTTGTAACCGCTTCATATCTTCTCATTTTAATGACCACGTCTCACAGCCGTTACCTTTGAAAAGAGCGGATGAACATTAGGTAAGAAGCCTGGTAAGGGTATATAGCCACAAAGGGCTAGTGTTAGTTGAACAATAGAAGTCGCAACAATAATAATAGTAATGATAATAACAATAGCAATGGTGACAAGCTATCCAAGATGAAAGAGTAGTGAGACAGAACATGGGTAACGAATAGGTAAATACACTAAGAAAATGAAGAAGTAAAAACGAGAAAGTACTAATAAATATGTCCACAATACATTGGGACCTGTATCATGGTAGATTCAGGGTGACTACTACCTCATTCAGCACACATAGGTTCGTGTCACGAAACCTAATCGCATACACTTCCACGACCTCAAATGTTTTCTTGTTCTATTATCGGTTAATAACCATGTAGGCCTTATTAGCATCAACGTCGTATCTGTAATCTACTATGAGCTTTGTAACAGAGCTCTGCGAGATCTTTACTTCAGCTTGTCTAAGCGATTTAAAGAAATGCTCAATCATACGAGTGAACAGACGGCTTTTGGTACGATATATGTTTTCGCTTCAGCAAGTATATTCGAAGTAGTATATACAACTTGATGTGTCAGGCACTGGAGTCATATCTTTTCCTGATTGATGAATTATCCATTCGATAATGCTCAGAAGTCATAGCTTGGGCCCGAAGTAAGTTCTCCTTATAGCTTTCTTCAGCCTGCGCTTAACGACTTCCTACGGGTTTTCTCTTTAGATAGGTAATTAAATAGAAACTGGCTTCTTCGGAACTATGAGGTTCGTCGTTTTTCCTTCTTTGCTTTTCAAGTACTTACTGACAAAGCCTCTGAGTAGCGATCTTCGGCTAGTGTCATCCAGTGATTTTATTTCTTAGCTTATAGTACTATCAGAGTATATTTTCCCTGCTCTGTCGAATAGTTTTAATTAGTTTTCTTTTATACTCATTCAATGTATTAGACTGCATTATGCGTGTGTGTCCTTTAATGCGTAACAGTACAAAAAATCACGTAAACAAGTCCCAAAGGAATTCATGAATTCAATTAATCATACAGTCATCAGATAACAGGAGGGGATCAACACGTATAAGCTGTGGCTTATTGATTAAGTGAGTTGAGTTACAGCCAGTGGGTCAGGAATTCAAACACTGCTCCACGTACCGACGTTTGCGCAACCACGAAGTATTATCAGCCCTCACACAATAAGTGTGGTTAACTGTCTACTGAACGAATTCACACAAGGTTGCTGAGTGGATTTCAATTTACGAACGCATACGTTCAGTGACAACGAATAGAAAAGAACCACTACACAGATCAAAACAAACAATTATAGCTAATACGCGAACGAATACACGTGCACTCCGTAATTTCGAGAATATTGGCAAGTTTATCACATTTCCCAAACTGAAATGAGTTCAAAATACAATGTATAAAACTATAAGCAGTAATCACGACGAAACATGCCCATTGAGTCATAAAGATATCACTTTCTAAAGCTGTACAATTGTATTTAAATATATTATAAACATCTAACGGTCTAATATTAAACAACAGTGTATAATTGCATCATTAACCTAGTGCTAAAAAAGCGGAATCAAGAATGGAAAGCAGTTGCGTAATAATCTTACGGATAGTAGAAATAACGAGGAACGCAAGGAGTTTGACAAGGTGAAAATTGTTGGCAGACGAGATATGCGAATATTCAGTGTCCACTTGATAGATGTAAAGAAGGCGAAGAATGAGACAAGAATCATAAGACAAGAGTCATGAGACAAGCGTCACATAAACAGAAAGTTACTTATCGCTAGAATCAGTCCGTTCTGTCCTGTTGTACTGCTGTTGATGGCCATCAAATGTGGAAGACATGAAGAAGCCACAGAGTTCTGATCACAGATGTCATCGGAACATTCCCGCGTTTGATCTAATTACCGCGTGAGCAATGTTGAAGTCAGATGAAGGATATAAGGCAAGAAAGGCAAGTCGATTGGTAGGGTTTTGAACCTTAGTCGACTAAGATGGATCGCACCACGATGCACCATGCCAGCTGAAGTTTAATTACGTTGGAAGAGGCAATAGGTGGCCAGACCAAGACCTGACACCAATTGATGAAGCCCCCACTATTCGCTTGAGCCGGGTGGGGAGATGTAGACTGTCTGACTGGAGTCCCCAAGACAAAAGGAATCAGTAGTTGAGGACTTTTGATGACATGGCTGAAAATCAGTCACAATGGCACAGATGTATTCACTCCTTGACATCTTCTGAAGCCTGAACATTCGCACTTCCCCTTATCTTCAGAATGTTAATTCTGTCACACAACGTTGTTTACTTTGATATCACCTTTTTATATCAACTCGTTCTTTGTATACTGCTGTGAATTGTGGTAACTTGAGCTGATGGAACTGTGTATGAGGTTATACGTTAATTCTGTCAGTCAGTAAGTTAGGTAAACTTAATGACAGCTTGAAAACCAGTAATATATGAGAAATACTGAAGAACTCACCACTAGGATCCCACCAGTAATTAGCAAAACGCTTGAATTTAACAGCTTCATTTTCTTCGATAGTAGCATTAGAATAATTATGTTGATTTATTATTTGAATCAGGCCATTAGAGGTTACGGAGCATTTTCGCTCAAGCAGTTTTAATGTAGGACGGAGAAAATACTGTTTCATAACTCTCCTGATCTAAAAAGAAGACTGAAGATGCATCAATTGTGAGCAAAACCAATACCTTAAGAAAGAAAATAAGTTACATATTAACACGAAGATGATATATTGATGAAGAGACTTTTGCAAGCTGATACTGTATAGAACATTACCATACAAATTCAAGTTTTTTAACATATCAGTAATGATGTGAGTAGTTCAAGAATTACGTACTCTAGTATGATATTGAACGAACAGCTTTTAAACCCTCGGTCATGGACAGTAAATAAAGGGAAGGCTTTCACTTCAAACTTCTCTACTGTCATTAATGCTGAAAAGTAAATAACTCACTATTTATCAGATTACTTTAGACTTGAATTGCATTTCTTTCAGCTGATACTTCCTTAGTTTGAATCTAGCGAAGTGGAGAATAGAACTAATCTCATTACAGAATACATCAGATAAGTCTAGAAAATTATAAAGTTATGTTGTGCAGTACAACGCAATATGATGAAAATTGGTGAGTGATAGAAGTCTATATACAGGAAAAGTGAAAGATAGTTGACGAGACAATGAACTTGGAAGAAATACACAAAATGGATAGCTCCAAATGCGTACGAAACTACGTAGTGGTCTCTCAAAGCTCGTTTTAAGTATTGAAAGGTATGAACTAAATAACCTGGCCAAACAGAGGGTTGTTCCTATTCGTGTCTTCCATCGAGTGGACCCATTATTGTATGAACTAAGATAGATACAGGAAAGTTTAGTCGTCCACACGCATACCTAAATGTATCATCTGACAGTATATGAAGCTTACCCTCAGTCGCAAGAACAAGTTTTTAGCTACCGTGCACGAAGTCGCAAGACAACTTTTATGTATGAGTAACGATACTCAACACCGATCTAATAACTATAAATAGTAATGCAGTGCAACCGATTAGAGATTTACATACTCAGCCGTAAGCTACACTTGTTATGGATGAAATAGGAGAGAGAATTCGGGTGCTGGAATAATTACTTGAAAGTCGCATGCTAAAGCCAATGAAACCCACCTCTCCAACTGTCATCCTGAAATCAAATTGGTGGTGAAGCACCAAAATGTTAAAACTTATTTTAACTGCAATGCAGCGTCGCACAACTTTCGATTTCTAAATTACACACTGATAACTTGGAGAATAGAACTGTAAGGATTTTTAATGCAAACTTACAACCTATTTCTTGTGTAGCTGAAACTATTGTTTTGAAGACTATTGAATACCATTCGTGAAGATAGTTGACAACAATTTCGCTTATATCTCATACCTTGAATTTATGTAACCAAAAGTAATATATGAATCCAAGAAATATGTCCCAAGAAATAAGAACTATGCTTCATTTAGCAATGTCCTTTTACAGTTTTTCTCAAAGGTAAGTCACCAAAGTATGAAAAAATTATCATCTCTGTAACAACAACTGCTCAAATGAACGATAACTCCTGCAACGTAAATAGCCTAGTCTTGGAGCAAATACAGATATGTACATAATTAAAATGATATATATGTTATCACCGAAATCTCAGTATTTTCAACAAAAGAAGTCAGTTCATTGTTTTCGTAACAATGTACACCGTAAGATGAGTTAGTAGTGGGATAAACTGAAGCGCTAATCAGGCATTTTTTTTTAACATTTTAGGACTAGATTATGTCCAAAATCAAATAAGCTCATTTATTTCCCCCATAATTTGCACACACTACATCTCACTAGCAGAATAGGAACGGTAATCCTTTTCAACATGATCACGTTCAACAATATGACACACTAATAAAATCCTCTCTTTAAGCAAGGTGGGACACAGAAGTATGAGATCCGTTAAAAAATCGTAATGCTAAGGAATAATACAAAAGGTGTGTTGGCGGTGAAGCATTCCAACTCTTTAAATAAAGAGAAATACTTTACAAATCAGAACAGCAGCGATGAGTTATCTGACGAAAACAGTCTGAGAAGCATTACACACACTCCCCATTTTACTTCGTAGGGACTACGATTGCGTACTGCAATAATACATTACCATATCAAGATAATCTGTAACGATAAATTCTATCATGAGAATGCTTTATCAAAGGCAAACCAGGTAGGAGAGAGAGTGATGTTAACGTGAATTACACAATTTAGACAGATAGCGACTCATTTATCCAGTTCAAATGATACAGTCAACACTTTTTCATGTTTATATTCATTATTTTAATTCAAGCAACCGAGTCCAGTAACGTTTGTGTTATCTATGATTTCCCTTCCCGTATGACTTCCTTTCTTAATTTTGAATAGACAATACAGTGTCCGAAACATTTGACTGGACAGAGGCTACATGACGGACCCACTAAGCTTTCTCAATATCCAAAATTGAGCTTCTATCCTAGACATTCATGATTCTGTGATAAAAACAAAAGAAAATGCTACTTTATATGCATTTTTGACGGACTGACTGACAGAATTAACGTATAACCTCATACACAGTTCCATCAGCTCAAGTTACCACAATTCAAAGCAGTATACAAAGAACGAGTTGATATAAAAAGGTGATATCAAAGTAAACAACGTTGTGTGACAGAATTAACATTCTGAAGATAAGGGGAAGTGCGAATGTTCAGGCTTCAGAAGATGTCAAGGAGTGAATACATCTGTGCCATTGTGACTGATTTTCAGCCATGTCATCAAAAGTCCTCAACTACTGATTCCTTTTGTCTTGGGGACTCCAGTCAGACAGTCTACATCTCCCCACCCGGCTCAAGCGAATAGTGGGGGCTTCATCAATTGGTGTCAGGTCTTGGTCTGGCCACCTATTGCCTCTTCCAACGTAATTAAACTTCAGCTGGCATGGTGCATCGTGGTGCGATCCATCTTAGTCGACTAAGGTTCAAAACCCTACCAATCGACTTGCCTTTCTTGCCTTATATCCTTCATCTGACCTCAACATTGCATCTTCGTCTGCATATTGAGAACTTGTTTTTAACCTGTACAGAAGATAACCATAAGGTGAGAAAAACTACTTATTAGCCAATAACGTGTTCGGTGATTTTATAATAAATTAGATTTAAATGAGAATGAAATGAACTGTTTTCAAAACCCGTAGATTATCGATGATCAGTTTATGAAAAATAGCAACAAAAGGCATATAAATGACTATCAGAGAGGGAAATGAAACGGCAATCACGGCATAATGAGGAAAGATACCCTTTAGCTTATATATCACTTACGGATCGTGGTATAGAAACCAACCCCACTAAAAAAAAATTGTGCTGACCAGAGGATACCAACAGTTTCTAAATAATAGGCCCAGATCACAGATCAATGAGCGAATCCGCTTGTAGAACTACATTATTTTACAGTACGTCACGAAGTAGCATAAAGTGGTAAGTTCGACGTATTTTGGTGTATCAGCTGCGTGGTGGGTATAATAAACAAGAATTATCTTTTTGGTTACGTCGAAGTAAATGGAAAGGTTATATAAACACATAACCTGGGTATGTATGTGATCCAATATATATATATATATATATATATATATATATATATATATATATATATATATATATGAATAGTATCAAATTGCACAGGAAAACGCAATCATACAAGGGTGTCCGTACACACAAAATAATAACAATAAGTGCTACAAAGATGCAATACAAACGTAATTGTATACATATATTAATTTATTGGTCAATTTGCATTACTTGAAAAATCATAGAATACAATTAACAAAGATAACTGGGGAAAAAGATGAATGAAATTAAACGGAGTTAAAATACAAAAATAACGTCTCATATGAGGAAATACTAGGCATAAACCATTCAATCATCAAGTATTACGAAACACTCTAAAATTATGATCATTAAAACAAAAAGAAAAGGCTGAAAAGAAAATCACAGTAACCTGGTAAAGAAGATCCACATAAACCTGTCAAATGAATAACTAACACCAGTAGTACAGTACATAGAACAAAATGTACATGACAACGGAAGACAAAATACAAAATGAGAGGAAAAAGAGATTTAGAATAACCAACAATGGAATAACAGTAAATGTACAAAAATGAAATAAATTAAAAATATCAACATTGGCTTAGGTCTAGGTTGACTTTGTAAACGGAATGAAGTATATTGTATAGCAATAGGTATTCTGGAGATGACTTGATTACTCAGTAGAATTAGATGTTTCAATAAAATTGATAATCGATCATTTACTTTAACTGTATACAAAAAACACACGAGAATTCATCATTCAATGATAGTGATATATAAAGCAAGAATAACAACAGAAAAAAAATAGATAAAAGTATAATATTGAGATTCAAGTATATGCGGCAGTTAACAACATGGTTGTCTAGTGCCATATCCTAGTCGTATTAATCCAAAGCGTCTTATGCAAAGTTTTTACTTACATCAATGACTGTGCTTAGACATGAAGAATATGTGCTTTAACCAACTTAGTTACTGAAAGTCATAAATTCTTTAGGTATTTAATTATTTCAATAGTTAACTTGATTGGTTAATCATTAGCCTTTAACTCTGTTCCTAGACCACTCTTGTTAAATAAGCTTGGCATAGTTCTTACTAAGCTATGGGTTACAAAGTGGTTGCATTCTTATTTTTCTCGAAAGAAACAATATACTGCCTATAAAGGGAGACGCTCCACTTGATTGCTTACTGAAGCTGGTATGCCTCAAGGTGGCGTACTTTCTCCTTTAGTATTTTCCTTCTTTTCGCATGATTTACCTTATTCCGTTGAAACCTATTTTATCAAATATGCTGATGACCTGATGGGTACAGTTCCAGTTAACTCTCACTTAGATTGCTCTTGTCTGTAACTGACCAATGGTCTCTCTCAAACTGTTTCAAGCTAAACTCTTCTAAATATCAGACTGTTTATTTTAGCCTCAGGCGTAAAAAAATTTATGTGAGCTGCCTAAGTCTCAGGACTCCTGTTGCACTGATGGTATTTCTGCAGAAAGTAAGTCAAGTATTAACTATCTTCGAATGAGACTTACTTCTGATCTTTATTGGTCGTCTAATATTTTGATGACTTGTAAAAATATCTTTCGTTTAGTGTAATGCATAAAGAAACTGTAGCTGTATGGTATAACTCAACTTTTACTTTTTCTACTAATTCATACATTTTACCTGTTTTTCTCTATTGTTCCCCGTTGGTCTTTTCTGGTCTACTAAAAAGGACTCTGTTATATTGCGTAGGGTTTCGAAAGCCGTCAATAGGGTGAGTGGTGTCTCTAATTCAAATGATTAACACTGCGGTTGAAAGACGTTTAAATTCTAGCAAGCAACTACCTACAGAAAATTGAATTAACACTGAACATCCACTTTATTCACAGTTCTCTTCTTGTATCTCCTTTAGGGAGGACAAGAAAAAATTCATTAAGACTGCACGCTCGTACAGCTAAGTACGAGAATTCGACTATGACTTACCTAGCATGCACGTTGTGTGAGTATAGTCAGATCAGAACTCATATATCAACTTTGTAACGGTTAATAATCTCATTCCAATAATTTAATTAACAATGTAAAATTTTCTCCTTATAAGTATTTTTTGCAATATTATCATGTTGAGATTTCCCAATTACACCAAAAATTGTTCTGAATAAAGTGATTATCATTATTATTATTATTCCCACCAGTGTTTGTCAGATGAAAATTTCAAAACTCACTTTCGTACTTGAAACACTGAATTACACCGTATAGTTCACTTGCTCTAGTTATCCTGATATCAAAATTTGAACAAAATTAGCATACTTTCATAAAATGACCATTGTCAAGTTATAACTCATCGAATTGCTGGCTACAAGATTGTTGATATTTTGTAATACAGCAATGGCCGGCTCAAATTCTTATAGCGAAAGACTCTGTAAATTTCTAAAGCGTTGCAACAATTTAATAAACACGAATCAGTCACCATCCGGCAACCAGTAGAGACGGTACGTCGCATGTGTTAACTGTTAATTGGAATCTGTCGATCAAATTTGCAATGTAAACGCTAGTCTACTGACACTGTCCTACGCTTCATTATTCCGTGAAACAGATTTTAGGCCCTAATGAAACACGTTTCCTGAAGGTCATAGATATGCATTGCTCATGAGTGTTAAGTACGAATGAAACATAGGTTGAAAGCTTCCAGTTACCAACACATTTTTCGCAAATGAATAAGGTGCCTGATAATCCCAATTACTATTCGAGAAAAGCAACCCAATTTTATTCATAGACGTATAGGAGTATTATGTACTTCTAAAAACAAATAAACAACGCAGAAATGGTACTCATCTGATATATAGTTGGTAGAGGAAGGTTGGTGTCTTAACTAAAAGCTATATCCCACCTGTGCAAATTCATTTTTACAGACAAAGTTGTAAAAGCATAAATAAACTTGTTTACTTCTGAAAACTTATTCACATTACACCAGTTGTTGGTAACGATATGATGATAATTCACAATTGTTTTTAGTTATGCAGATTTGTTAGTATAGTGAATCTCTAAAGAAAGGTTATTCAACCCGTGAAGCAAATTGGGTTACCGAGGACAATCAAAAAAATTTCAGAAGTGTTTAAAAGTGGCTTTTACAGGAAACTTTCAACGCTTTCACAACCGCTGGAAAGTGATAACTTAAAGTATAATAGGGAATTACATCAAAAGGAATAAATATTGAAAATAAATAATGAACAACAAGAAAAATGAAAAGTGATCTTACCAAATCGGTTATTCCAGTTAGATCTTGTGAACGATGAACAAATAAATGATTGCGTTGGCTGATAGAACTGAAGAAGCCCTTTCAAATTAACAACTGTTGACTCGTCAACATACGTGTTTGTTATTATTGGACTCTGGGTTTTTGATGTCGTTTGTGGTGTTCTAAAAAGAAGGAATAGGCAGAAAATCATTCAAAAGATTACATTTAATAGTAATAATAAGAAAGCTTCTCGAAAATAATCAACACAGATCAAAACATAATGGAACAATTAAGTAGTAAAATAAGGAGGTAAAACTAATTGATGTAGATGATGATTAAATTGAGCCGTAAGGTTCAATGAGGCAGCATAGAAACCACCACATTAGTATAGCAACCCCGTTTTCCTCATTGCCCAGTTTTACATCAAAAAGAAATCAACCCCAGAATCAAAAAGCTAAGTTGAATGAGCATTATGAGAGTGGCTCTGGTTAACTCATAGATCCCGATACTACTGATCCAAGTCAACAATCGGGTTCAGTTGATACAAAAAACTCAGCTTCTCAATGAACTGGATTTGTCCAAGTCTACTGCTGATGAGCTCAGTACCAAACGATAGAAACCATCATTTATTATTATTCAAATCACTCTGATTTTCGTCAGCGAAATCTGAAGGTTAGCGTGAGTGGTTTCTAATTAACGATATATTTCGGTAATATACTTCAAAAGATATTGCTGATCAACTATTCGTACAACTTTTTGTATCAATGCACATATAAGGGAGTAAGCAAAGTACTACGCAACTCTTAAAAAAACAGGTTATTACATAAATTAGTAAACTGAAGCTACAGTATCTAGGTAAAGTCAAATACAAGACTGAAGAACATGGAAATTAATATTCATAAGATGATAATACAACTGATACTTACAACAACTTTGCTTCAGATACAAACTCAACAGAATGTGGCATAGTAGGCTTTTGATATGTAGGACAATTTTGTTCAAGCAGCATCTGACACTGGCGCAACTCTTGTGTGCGTTCATACAACGATTCTTCAAGTAAAGTAACCTACAAGTGAATATTAAAAACGAAGATAATGAATTAATTTTTCTACAGAAATCAGAAAGGTGAATAAATTATTACATTCAAAACCTGAAAATTACGTTTACGACTAAATAGGCATATGCACATAGGGATCAGTGGCTATATCATGTTAGAAACTGGAGCAGTTGTAAGTATCAACAGCTCGGAAAACAGATGTCTCGATGAACGCATACTCTACACTGAAGTTACTCCTAACAGGGCTTTTAATGACACATTCACATTCAATGCGACTCTAAAAGAAACCTTCCCTCGCCCTGTTTCTGAAGATAATGACTAGTATTTCGTTGAAATGTCTGGTACCAAAAGTCTTAGAGCAGAAAAACAGAGTCAAGCTATAACTTCAGAACTTAGTTTCATCTCTTCACACGCTATCAGATAAGGAAATCCCACCAAATTAAAAAACCGACAGTCATAATCTCTGATATAATCAATCTGACTTATTAGCGTCATTATTACCGCAGCCAAACACACTGTATAGATATCGTGGTGCTAGCTAGAGACTTCGGTAAGTAGATTGAGTGTCTAGGCGCAAGAATATCTATTACGAAACAAACCAGATATTGGGAACCATCTTAAACAGATCGGCTAGCACCATAACCTATGTTATGCCAGCTTCAACATCTGCCAGGGCCATTACCGAAGTAATATCTGACAACTTGTCTCTGCCACATTCAATTCTATTCTCATAGCTAACACATCACAACGGCTTATAGAGTCGGAACGAGGAAGAATATGACGCCTCCTAGCTCATCTCTTGAGAATCTATTCATTCTTTTTTTTTCTCGCTAACTTCATTCTGAAGACCAACGAAAACCGCTATCATCAACGGATTCATAACAGAAACACTGCTAGCGTTTGATGATCACGAGTCGGTAGAATATATTCATTACGGCTGAAAGATATGCAGACTACATGGACTGCATTTATTCAGTTAGTAATTAGCATACGTGAGTACATGCGTGCTTTGAACCTCCCAAATGTTTACTGACTTTGCAAGATTGACAAAAGCCTACGTTTGCAATCATCCTTTGTGGTAAATCATTGGAAATAGTTGGAAATCCCATATCTCTAGACAGCGCTAGAATGGGTGCTATACATAATATCGATATTGTCACAGAAAAACCTAAGTGGTGTAAAAAGTACAACTTTTGTCAGACTCTGAACGTTTAGGTGTATGATGTTTATGGACAGTTTTTCCCTACACCAGTGAAATATGTTTGCCATAAGTTGAATACTTTCGATGGCTATTTCTGTCCGATCAGCAGCGAGTCAGTAGAATAGTTTGCTTTCGATGGCAATCCTAGATAGGTAATACCGAGTTTCGATGGTGTTTATTGGCATATTGGATACCGTTGTTCAAATGAGAAGGCTGTTCAATTTTGTTTTCCTTAGTCAACTGTTATGCAAACCATTATGACGCACTGAGTACCCAGTATCCCCCATCGACATCGTTTCATAATCTGGCGTCAAAGAATTAAGGATATTCATGTTATGCTAATACCGTTTAGTGAATCACGACTCCGCGAATGGGACACTAACAAAAACATGGTATGGTGAGTTGAAATGTTGAAATGAAAATAATTGAAAAACCTATTACAGTTTTATATTTGCCTTTAGCACAAGCAGTAAGATTAAAAGTAGAACGCAAAGATACACGAATCCCATTACAGTTGTGCGCCCATTGGGCTATCAGCTTTATTACCGCTACTAAACTTCCCAAATATCTTCATACTCTTATCACCTAACTCTGTGTGAAACACATATTGGTATCTCATCGTGGATAGCTTTTGTTTCGGACAATAAAAGACAAACTAGTTGTCATGATGATGATTTCCAAATAGATATCTACTGCTGTTTATATACACATTTCATAAGTTGGTGGATGAGTTCATTGCCAGGTGAATAACAAGTTAATAAATCAATACAACTGAGGTTGAAATCATTTTTAAAATATCAAATACAGATCCCAAAAAATTGTAAAAACTGGAGATTTCGGTGCTTTTTAGTTGAACAGAAGTTTTGAGTCAAATGAACAGGCAAATAAGTTGATGAAAAAGGAGCACAGCACATAACAGCATTATTGTTGAAGGTAAATCCATCTTTCACATTCAACAGGCTTAAGATTATGAACAAATAGTTCCTGACAATAACTTTTAACTAACCTGTTCATCCAATCCTTCAATAGACGCTTTTAAATGCGCGCGTTCTACAGTAGCATGGGATAGCCGTTCTCTTAAAGTGAGAAACTCAGCATTGCTTGCCTTCAGCTGATCCATTGCCATGGCAGCTTCCTCTTCAGCTGCTTTCGCCCGGCGTAGCAACTGAGAATACATTACATCTTCACTGACATCCTTATTTGTATTAACAAGATCAGAACATTCTGGAGCGTCAACTGGACAGGAACTTAAAGTTTGGGAACTGTGGATAGTCAGTGCTTCATCATACACTACAGAGGGTGACTGTACATACACCGGTGAAGTGTGCTTATCATAGGCATGAAAACCATTTTGCATACCTTTTAAAATGGGAAACTCGTTTCCACATTCATATCCCAGCATTTCACCTACTAAGGGTATTTCACCTGCTAGACTAGATTCGTTTGGCAACATATCACCACCTATGAGACATGAAAAAGGTATGAGTGTTAATTTTTTTTAATGGGAGATTACAATAACCTTAAAGGTAACTGTACAAAATATATGCTGGTTTATAGCCAAAAAAGTGACCAGTGGAAATTCTTAGTGAGTGTAACTTAACTCAATACAGGTTCATGTACCAGACTACCGGCCATATTTATTTTGTGATGGGTACTCTTTTGCTTGGACAAAAGGTAGAACGAGGTTTGAGCCCGACAAATATCATTTAAACGTCAAGTATTTAAGCCAATATACATCCTCAGTACTACTGGAAAACTATAGCATTTAGTATGTATAGGCAACTGTGTACATAAAATGGGATATATTTATATTAACTGACAAAACGTTATAAATACAGAGCTTTGGAGGATGGCCAACTAAATATCGGAAACACCACATAAGCATCCAATGGCCTGTGACAACTCACAATATTTATGGCAACAAGAGTGCCCATTAAGGGTTGAGTTAATTGTCCAATAGGTCACTTTGTTCCGAAATATGGTTTTAAAACACACTCATTAAAGACGGCGGACGTAGAAAGACTCAAGGTGTTTGACCACCGTTACCTTAGAAACTTTAAAAACGAATCAGAAGGCCACCTCGTGAGTAATGCAGAGGGTCCCGGGTGAGACAAGTAAACCAGATGATGGCCTCATTAACATTCACCAAATGAGGTTGTCAGAACAGACAATACACACACCTAGTCACCAATTACTTCGACGACCTGAGTTAAGTGAAGCTGATGTAGGCTGAAGGAAGTTAGAGATAGTCAAACTAAAACATCAGTACATAAAGTCTATAACCATTGGTCTAAGTTTTAAATGGAATAACGACCTCCATGCTGATTTCTGCGTGAAAACCTTAACTGATAGTTCGAGAATTGGTGATGCGACATACTACTGACCCCAGTAATGCAGATCCATTTTCATCTTCATAATAACATCAGATTTAAATACTTTTTAAGCGATTCTTCTCTTTGTGCAGATTTATTATCTTATTTGTCCCTATTTTTCGTTAACTTTGTCACTTTTGCTTCCTGATCCTAGGTGTGGTGACTGGGACCTTTGAGTACTAGTGCTGGATCGCGTAAATGTTCGAACTGATATACTGCGGAATTAGGAAAGGAGTGCATCAATTCAAGTTGTCAAAGTTTTCTACAGCGCAGTAACACAAAAATACAAACGAAACCAACATAGAACCTGGCATTACTGCATGGCAGTTTAAGTAGCCACACCTCCTATTAGCAGATCAAGAGAGAATGCATTAACATGAAAGCTAAAGAAATCAAGAAAGCAGTCAAAAGTGGTATATTCATCAAACGAGGACAGTGAAGAATGGGGAAAAACTGAAATTCAGTTTGACGATTATGATGACGGCAATGTATGGATACATCTGTGTCGCTGACATCGATTCTGAGCCATATTATTTGCACTCTGAACATTGGTTTCTGTTGTCACACGGACACCAACCTGGAAGTTTACATTTTCCTCCTACACGGCTGAGACCAACAGTCAAAGACGCTATGGAGTGAGGCCATTTTTTAAACTGACCACCTCTAACCTTTGGCTATCCCAAAATTACTTCACCCAACATTATGCGGCTAGGTAGATGGTGACAGGGCATGCGTAACACATATCTTAGTCGGTGACGGTTCATAACCGCACCAAGTGACTTTTCTCTCCTACCTAAAACTCTACACCTGATTTCTATTTTACTCGCGTTGTGATATCACGACACATGGTCTGTGCTACAAAGATAACAGTGGTCGAATACTTGAAGACTGTTCATTTCCTCTGTCTTTAATGGCCATGTTTCACAGTCATACAGTAGAACAGAGTGAACTGTGGTATGGTACACATAACAGACAATCGGATATCACAGCATCATCGTAAATGGAGCAAATTTGCAAAGGCCGACCGAGCCTTTTGTATCCAAGCAGAGAAATCATCGGTCCCTGACCCATCAAGAGTGATCTGACTTTTCAAGTGAAGTCATCAACGCACTCAACCAATTCACTTCCAGTCGATAACCGGGGCATCGCTGAATACCAGTCCTAGAGCAAAAGTTTGCATTTGGGTAGCGAGAAACCCGTCTCTAATATTATCAAACCAACACTCAAAGTGTCCAGAAAACTCTGAATCGTGTCACTGTCTTCACCTAACAGAACTATGTCACCCGTGTATCCTAGGTCTACCTAGGATTTTCATGTGAAGTCACACGACGAGAAGACCTCCACAGTCAGGTCTGAAACCTGTCTGATTTTCTCGGGTTCGCAGTTCCTGAGCTCCACTCTGACGTTTAGTGGTCAAAGGACCTAGAATCCTAGACACTATGTTCGTCAGGCTGACTACTCTGTGGTTATTATGCGAGGGTCTCTCCCTTTTCTTGGAGACTGGGACAATCAGCAATTGAGACGAGTCAGACAGGATCAAATCTGACTCCCATTCACTAGTTAACACTTCAGTTACCCTGGCCAGTAATCTTCGACTACCATCCTTAAATATCTCTGATACTATTCCGTCTAACCCTACTGCCCTTCATATTTTCCGATTACTCACAGCTTTCTCGACTTCTGCAAGTGTTGGAGGCCGTATCTTAACGTTCCGTTCAGGATCTAACTGAACGGTAACGGGATAGTATCATGAAGTGAGATGAACTAGTTCTCAAAGTGTTCAGCTCATCGTTTTAGTCGTCCGTCCGGTGAGTGAATCCCGGTCGTGGTTCACTGGTCTAGGCACTCTACTTCCAACCAACGGATCACGGGTTCGAACACCGTTCCAACTACCAAATTCTGGACAGTTAGGTAATGTTACTAACCATAGGTGTGGCACATTGCCTACTACACGAGCGTGCATGTGACTGCTGGATGCATCTCTCTCACTTTCTTGACAGTCACTAAGCACTGACCATTTTGCACCAGCTTCATTGATAAATATAAATAGCTATTTACTTTTACCTAGAGCAATGAGCGGTATTTTCGACCTCATTAGCTTTTGCTACTCACTACTGTTAACGGTCACGGTAAAGACTATTTATCAGCCTACACTGCAGTAGCTTCCGCTCTCATTGTGCTCACAGCTAGCAGGGATACGTGTGCATGTATTTATTAACTCAGAAGAAGCTATTCAGATTCACTGGCTTTTTCTAACCAATTTGTGGGACAATTACGGTCTTTAACGCTGTTATCACAACAAACTGAAGATGTTACCAAACTTCTTCTGAATAAGTGATACTGTCCTATACTAACAACTATCTAGTTAATTTCTCGCTAAAAGCAGTCATAGTATTTTAATCGTCATGCAGTACTCATATTAGTCTTGTTCCTGAAGTGTCCCCCACTTTCATGTAGACGCAGACACACGCGCTCGAACCAACGCGTGATTCCTGTCCAAACACATGCTCAAGAAGGAGCAGTAATCTTCCTTAGATTCTCTCCAGCGATGACTGATAGCGATGTGGTCTATATATGTCCACCACTGAGTTCAGCTCGGTGGACACCACGTCAGACAATGTCTCTTTTATGACTGAAGTTCATGCTGGTCAAAAATAAATGGTTGGCTAAATACAGTTGTAGTAGGCGATCACTGTTCGCCTGGGATTCTGAAAGTGCCTTTCTCTCTAACTTAGCCAACCAACTTCAGTAACTACATCTGGAAGTCTAGCTTTAGGTAGGAGGATAGGCAATTTTCGGTAGGACTCATCTTTCACTTTATCTGAAGTGCAGTCAGTCAGTAGGTTCGTAAGCAGAAATTACAAAGAGACAACGGTGAGTTTCACAATTATTTTAGCCTTCACTGTGCATTCCAGTCAAACAACGCATAAGGGACAGTCAAATGGGACCCAGTCGAGTAGTAAACTTACTGTCTTAATGCTCAATGCTATAACTAAACTTGCAAGACCGCGAGAACTGGTCGTCCAATGTCCAGACATTAGAGGGGTAAATTTGGCAGTTTTGTTACATTGGTCACGTTTTTTCCAATGAAATGATGAGTAAGAGCTATTCGATGTACTGGCCAGTGACTGCATCACCTAAACTAGTGAGTCTTATCTATTAGAAAGCTATTTTGCAAAAATGCTGTGACCTTTCAATTACCTGACCAAATTAAAAGTTCAAACAACACACATCAGTTGTCTTCTAAACATATTTAAGCAAGAAGCATAACTGTCAAATAAATAAGCCTGCTTCGTCTACAAAACGAATAGCTGAATCCCAAGAAAGATTATGGACACATGTTACTAACAATCTCCTAAAAAGTGGAAAAATGTGAAAAGAACAACTCTCCAAGATGCAGTCAGTTATGTAAAAGGCATACTTTTTAAATGAACAGGATGAAAAATAACACTTTACTATAAGATAAAATTGTAGTGAATCAATTCCACATCTTTATTCCGATCAGTAACAGATAGTAAGGAAAAAGGGTATCCCAGGGATAAGGACGACACAAGTTACTAGGAAGTGGAGGTAGGAAAAGATATACAGCCAAATACATCATAGAACCACGCAGCAAAACATAAGCTCAAATTTCCGCAATTTACGACATTCAATCCAATAAAAACCAATCGGAACAGACAAGAGGGATACGAGTAAAGTGAGAACTAAAAACAAAACCACGAATAAGATATTTACACAGTCACCATCAACGGCAGAAATCTAAAGGAAGTAACCTCTTTCATCTACCTACCTCGGCAGCATCAAGTCAACTACATACAGGCGGTGGTGGAGGCACACATGATGTCTAAACCACAACCGGAAAGACACCAAGACAGATCTTCCTTCATCAACCTAAAATCAGTGTGCAGATCTACTGCACTCCACTCAACATAAAGCGTGAACAACATCCAGATTCTCAACACTAATGTCAGTCAAGTCAGTCAGTGCTTCCATGTGATGGTTGAGAGACATGGCACGTCACGAAAAGCATTGCAAAAAAAACTACAGACATACATCATCAACAGCTGCCGCACATCCTCACTCGATACTGACAGTGAAGATCAGATGGCCAGAATTATAAGAATAAGCAAGGAGGAACTCTGGCTAACAACGAACCAACGAAGCAAGAACCCATCGCCCAACAAATATGCAGGAGGAAGTGGAGATGAATTGGATTGAGTATACACTGAGAAGACCGTTCGGGGATATCACGCGTCAGGCCAGGCTAGATCCTCGAGTGGAACACAAAGGGGAGACAACGAGTTGGGCGTCTGAGGTGAGGGTGACATGGTGGAGGTGGTGTGAGGAAGAAATGGAAGCTTCTGGGCAGTCGTAGAGCCAGGTTGAAGAGACTATAGAGAAGAGAGTGCAATGGAGACGTGTTACTGAAGCCCTGTGTTCTACTAGGAACCCAAGGGACAAATAATGCAATAATAATATGTTAACAAGTTAGATGATAAAGAGAGAATACATTTAAACTACTGCAATTCATTTTGAATCATGTCACCTCGCAACTTCAACCGCTCATTTATAACTGATCAAGTAGCTCATTCACACAAGTTCTTTTCCATTACGATCCTATTTCACCCGAGATTAAGAATGGAGGTACATCGTAATTCACCACGCTTATCAAATGCAATAATCTCCTAAACTACTGCGGGTTATCACCTTTAATTTATTTCCATTCCATTTTTCAAAATGCAACATGTAATCCTACTATTTCTGATTGTGGCTTTTTAAAAACACCTTCGACAAAGTATCTATAACAATCACATGTCAACTATCTTGAGTCAACTTGCTTAACAGATAGAAGATGGGAAAGACCCAGATGTTGCTCAGCATACTCACTTTGACAGCCAATTGGACACGTTATCGGTATCTTAGGTGGTAAAGTTATGTAAACGTCAAATGAGTCTTGTGTCAGTGCGTTAATATTCTACATTTAGTAGAATATGAATCTTATCATAGTAATCAACTAATAAAATTATTTTTCGCAAACTCTAGGTATTCATGAGAGAGAACAGTAGCTGTTTTCACTTCATATGACATCTTTTATACATATATGCTACGTCACTTTGCCAATCCCTTGAAAGACAAACAAATCTCAGCAAAGAGACTATCCTTAGGCATTTACGAAGTATCCTAATGTCTTCAATATCCCTAGATAAACAAATGGATCTAAATTGTTTTAAAAAAAACTACTGCAACTCTTAAGAAGAAATAAATATTTGATTACGAAATTGAAACTTACTCATTAAGAAAAATTCGGTCTGAGTAGATTTACATTTTGGATGTGCTGAACTGCTGACAAATACATCTATTGGGTCAACAGCTATATCAGCTTTTGGAACTTTGTTCGGTGTGTCGATGCAACTCAACGAATCTGTTTGAACAGAATTATCCAAAACATGCTGCGTATAGTCTGTCTTTTGAGTGACAACATGATTTTTAGGGAAAACGTCGTCACAAGTCATCATCTTACCTTGATGCGTGATTAAATCGGGAATAGGACTCATTTTCGACTGTTTACGCTGTAGCAAATCATTGAGACGCTGAAGTTTTTGACAATTTGTACAGTTTACAGAATCCGATGAGTTTGTATTCTCCAAACTATTAATTTTGTTTGAGGCGATATTTTGTGATAAAAGACGATTTAACTGGATTCGAAGTGCTCGCGCATCTGAACTAACTTCAGCCAATTGACCTCGCAGTCTGGAAGCCTCACGATCACCATCTTCTCTTTGATGCACCATATCCAATCGCAACTGATTAAGTTCATTCTGAGTAATCGACAATCTCAGCTTTAAATCATCCATACTCAGACTATCGATGTTTTGTAGTTTCTCATCAGTATACAAACTTTTTGCTTCGTTGTTAGTTGAACTGCCGATGAAGACTGTAAAAGGCAAAAAGTGAAAAGATTAATTTCTATGCTGCATATGAAGATGACATACGAAAATATTCATGAACTACTCCATCTTCATTAACAGTACGTGTAACCTGAAGTAGGGGACTTTATTACAGTATGAATATGCAGTATATAGCACGAAAGTTAAGCATAATATGAAGAATATGATAAAAATAAAGACACATCTCAACATTTAAACGAAGTGTGATCATTCATGGTACGAAACGGAATATGAAAAGGTCATAAAACAAAGGTAAACACGAATGAAACGTTGATATTGTTCACGTTTCGCATACGAGAAACGAAAGCCTGTAAGCAAATATGAATCTTTCACTAAACTGAATTACAGATGATAGATACAAGGTAGTGATTGGTGTGTGTGTCTGGAACTAGTAAACTTTCGGCTTCCTGATAAAAAACGTAATCCATGGTCAAGAGTAGTAAACGAAATCAAATTTAAGCACGCATAGATCAAAACTTACATAATGAAGGAGATTTTAAATTAATTTAGGTAGCTATCTAACATACTAAGCTTCGACATCCTGAGACGAATGCAACGTACTTCGTATATCTGACAGTTACTTCCTACTACAGGAACCATACTGAAGAAAGCCTCAAACTAAAACGGCAAACACAACTTCAGGAAAACTGGTGATACAACCAGTTTCTTATCACCTGTGCCACAATCTTAGACTTATTCTGTTTTATGAGATTACTCTATTTATCATACTCCAACGAAAGTGTAACTCAGTAGTTTAAATACTATACTCTATTCATCGGCTAAATTTTATATCCCGCGCCGGCCTGGTAGTAATGTCAAGTAGTACACAATAAGTGCAGCTGAGAGATACTTTGGTGTACATTGATATGTTAATAGACATACTGACATTGACCCAATCTATCAACCAATACGAAACAACAATAAGATCATATTTCAGGTCATCAGGATAACCAATCAAAATGAACATGGAGCCAATGACAAAACCTTGGCAAAAACAACCAATCACACAAAAGACCATCAAGACTACCAAATAAATTGTGGACAGAACCTTATCCCTCACATCTTTCTGAAGTTCTTGCTGATGATGTTGCCTAGAATGACAAAGAAAGTTCGACAATTAAACAACCAAACTCAGAGAATATAACTTCATCGAAATTACCTTCCTCAGCTACAATTATTCTCCATCATCTCAAAGTACATTGATATGAATTTACTTAGATTTGAAACATTCAACAATTTACAGACTCAATTTCTATTTCTCTTAACACCTAGTTTTTTTTTATCCAAGTTTCCCTTCCTCCATTTCACTCTAAATAGTCTAAATAGCCTAGAATATTTGCGATAGACCGTTTGAAAAGTAAAGAGGAGTATCACTCATAAACTCGTTCACCTTAGTTTATTTTTTTATGGAAGTAAGCCGCTTACATTTAATGGAAAATTTCAGTCTTTACTGATTTTATGATGAGCTGAAAAATACTAGTTAAAACTTATAACAGAACGGTAAAGAAACTAAGGCGGAGAAATACCAAAACTTGAAAAGAGAAATGCAGATCCTACAACCAGTGCAATAAAAGTTCCAATTTTACAAACTCAAGCGCTGGAGAAAAAAAACCCAATGAATATGGTTATCTTTTAAAGAAAAATTTAGCAAATGAAGATAGAGCAATTACAATGACTTGGAAAGCAGATAAACTGAAAATGTGTACAGATAATAAACAAATTCACAATGAATATTTTATGGTGTACTGAAGTAGTACAATAAAAAACATACCTTGGATGTTTTGATTTAACGAATTGGAAGTTGTCAAATTAGCCTTACTAACCAGTAACTTATACTGTTCTAGTAAAGTAGTTGTTTTGGCTAGCTGACTACGTAGATGAGCAGTCTCCATAGCATTTCTACGTTTTTGTGCTTCATAATTTGTTTGATGGTAGCGAATAGTATCCACACTAGCATCTAGTTCACTACTCATATGATCCAGTCGTTCATGTAATTGATCCATACGTGTTTTCTGAGTTGAGCGATACTTTTTCAAACGATCCAATTGACTTAAAGCATTCAGTAATGCCTCTTGTAATTCAGATTTAGTTGGTTCATCAGAATCCGTGTTAATGGAATTTTTTAATGCTCGATTGAGCACATTTCTTGGATTAACTAAACCATATTTCAATAACTAAGAGTAAAACATTAAAACAATTACCAGGATATATTCAATAGATGTAAACAGTCAAGGTATCAATTGATAAATATAAGGTATAGTAATTATTCATGGAGTAGTCATCTGTTACATGTGATGTATAATTTGTGACAAGAATGATCAGAGCTTACAACACAACGGTTCCATTTTAAAACACAAAGCACTAGTCACATGACCGAAAGCCAAAACGTAGAACTAAACGGTCCAATTAATAATAATTAAAGCCTATTTTTGTAGCTTTGTTAAGTAACTAAAACACTTTGATCATCCATGTACATTCAAGTAACTACTCATTATATGCTCACTTCGAAAGTTGGCTAGCTTTGTTAGCAAATGCCAATAAAGTAGGTTGGAATCCAGAGTAGTGACTTAACTAAACTTCAATCAAACTATAAGCAAAAGAAGTATAAGATAGATAAGGGGAAAACACCAGTTATAAACAAATAAGTCTTTTTATTCTTATATTATGAATTTAATATGAGAGAAACCAATTTACAAGCTTCATCAAATTGATTATAGTTAAGAAAAAGATAACTTTTGAGCGGCCCTTGACGGTAACGCTAGGCAGGCCAGTAAACTTTACCATAACATCAGAAGTGTCCGCAATTTATTTAATGAACAAGAATATATTGCACACCGTTTTTGAGTTAGATCATTTCCACTTCTTTTACTTATTACCTATAGGTTGCATTAGAAACATGCAGAATTCGATGTTTGGGTTACAAATAGGCGACTTGTTTGACCTGTAGCTACAGTTCAATGATTTGTCAGATAAACGTCTATTTTAACATCAATTCTTATGTTCATAGCCCCAATGACTATTCCTACGGTTTGCGGAAGTAATAAGTATCCATATAATCATAGAATCCAGCGGAATATAATAAATTTAAGCAGTTCCCCCTCTTCAAGTGTTATATTATATAGTAATATATGTCTCATATCGCACAAACTCGAAGATATATGGGCGAAAACCAACAAGTTGGTAGAAGAGGTGAGGAGGCGAAGAAAGACGGGACTTCCTTCAGGTGAACGTAGAGAAGTCAGAAGTGATGAAGATACCCAACCAACAACAACAACAGGCATCAATCACCATCAACAGGAGAAATCTAAAGGAAGTAACCTCTTTCATCTACCTACCTCGGCAGCATCAAGTCAACTACATACAGGCGGTGGTGGAGGCACACATGATGTCTAAACCACAACCGGAAAGACACCAAGACAGATCTTCCTTCATCAACCTAAAATCAGTGTGCAGATCTACTGCACTCCACTCAACATAAAGCGTGAACAACATCCAGATTCTCAACACTAATGTCAGTCAAGTCAGTCAGTGCTTCCATGTGATGGTTGAGAGACATGGCACGTCACGAAAAGCATTGCAAAAAAAACTACAGACATACATCATCAACAGCTGCCGCACATCCTCACTCGATACTGACAGTGAAGATCAGATGGCCAGAATTATAAGAATAAGCAAGGAGGAACTCTGGCTAACAACGAACCAACGAAGCAAGAACCCATCGCCCAACAAATATGCAGGAGGAAGTGGAGATGAATTGGATTGAGTATACACTGAGAAGACCGTTCGGGGATATCACGCGTCAGGCCAGGCTAGATCCTCGAGTGGAACACAAAGGGGAGACAACGAGTTGGGCGTCTGAGGTGAGGGTGACATGGTGGAGGTGGTGTGAGGAAGAAATGGAAGCTTCTGGGCAGCCGTAGAGCCAGGTTGAAGAGACTATAGAGAAGAGAGTGCAATGGAGACGTGTTACTGAAGCCCTGTGTTCTACTAGGAACCCAAGGGACAAATAATATGATAATAAAAACATTAATTTCACTAAAAACAGTTATTGCGGTGCAGAGAAATAAATATTGAAAGAATTGTCGTCTAAATGGTGATGGTTTTTGCATAGAATTGTAGACACGTTTCTGAACATTTTTCATTTAACTTTTCCAGCTTTGGGGAACTTGTCAACTAGTGACAGTTATATTACCTATAATATTAACTTGTCGTGTCAGTTATTCGCTATTTTATTCCACTTCTTAGCCATTTTCAAGAATGCTCACCTAACCACGCTACACATAGCATGACTTACAATTACAATACGCACAAGGTTGGCCGAATTAGGTTCGGGTTATAAAAGGGCTAGCGGCGACCAGACTAAAACATGGCATCAATCCCTGAAGTCTTTGACTGTTTGCTTGAGGTATGTAAGGCGATGAAGACTAGTCGGTTGGCGTCCACAGGACAACAGAAACCAGTGGTTGGAGACTCTGGGTGATGTGGTACAGATATATATACACACATTATCCTCGTCTTAACCGATATACTTAATCTCATCATTTTCTCATTCCTCCTTCTTTGCCTTCACTACTTTCCACTTCTTTTGATCGATTTTTCTTTCCTTCATCTTCTATTTTAGTGCCCTGTTACCTGATGTGCTGATTTGAGACCTGGAAACTTCGGCTGTTACACAGTAATGCCTGGTCTTATGCTGACCCTGATGATGATGATGACCTTAAAATTTATTTCTCTGTAACTATTCTACATTATTGTGACTCGGAAAATTTTCGTAACGTCCTCATAAAAAGTCGCTTAACTTTGAACATAACTTGCTCTAGAACTTTCTATGCAGAGATTTTACTGTTGAACCTTGAATTCCAGGGAGATAATGTAGCAGATATACTCAGAAAGACACTATCACGATCCATAAACAGCACATTCTTAGCAGCCAATCTTAGAGTCACATTCTCCTGTCAGGAACTCACTAGTCAGGACGTAAACGATAAGCTGCAGCATTGGGCCACATGAATGTGTGTATATCATTTTCCTTGCTCCTGTACAGCTGAGTATATTAGCCGTACCATGCGCTAGCTTATGCAACGCACTTGCGAACACTATCCAATTCAGCTGACAAGAGGAGAAAGAAAATGCACCCTCAGCTCTGTAATAGAATAATTAGTAAACTCAGAACATTTGGCTCGTTGAGATAACTCTCCTTCAAAATTCTGTAAAAAGTGTGACCAAGTTACTCGAAAGGAGTGGGAATAAGATATATGGGCATAGCTGAAGCATTAACGATTCAAACGTTCAAGCCATTATTATGCGTTCAAAAGAAGTACAACCTCTTTCTTTGCTATGGCTATCGTAGATTATCGATCACTCTAAGTAAACCACATATGATGTAACTGTCTTTATTTTGTAATCACTTTTTTTATTTCCCTATTATAAGACTTTCCCTTTTGATGTAATTTATATTGACCTTTGACCAGAAATTACTCTAGAATATTTTATCCCTTTTACTATATATTCATGAATATACAGCTAAGAGAATGATTTTATCGAAAAGATTTTTCTTTGTTCCAATCGTCTTATGTGTTTTCCTACGTTCCAATGAGATTGTTTCGATATTTGAAGAACTTTCTATTCTTTGGACTATATATTTACGTATGTACAGCTTCGAAATGAGTCATCAAGATGATAATTATCTCCGCTATAACACCACACTTTTCTCAACACTAAAATGGGGATAATTTACAATTTGAAAACACAATTACTCCTTGGGTTTACCTGATCATTTAGTCCAATGGTTTCAAGACTTATGTATGGTTAAATGGTTTTTAAAGTTACTTTTTGACAATGATAAATGCACTGGCATTGAGACTATGAAGAATTTTTATTAATGAAGCAAAAAAATATATAACATTAAATACTTACTGTTTCATAATTGACTAGTTTTCCTGAAGCATTTTTATATTCAATACAGTTTTGACTAAGTGATAATTGTTGCTTTAATCCACCGTCTTTTGTCAAAGAATCTGTTTGAACAGAAGTATGCTTCACGCTTGTAAGAGGGTTTGAAGTTTCAGTTTTATCTGCTTTAGCACCTTCTTCTAATTTCTGTTTGAATGCATAAATAATCTGTACAGTATCTGATGTTACTTGTTCACTAGATGACAGCAAAGACTGGATGTGTTTTAACTGACTACAGACTGAGACCAAGCTAGAACATATATCCAGAACTTCACTATCAGGATTTAACTTATATGCAGCAGACAGAGTGATAGAAACTGAATCACCACATTGCTTCAACTGGTTCAATAGCTGTGTTAATTGAAGATGTTCACTTGAAATACGACTGAACAATATGGAAGCAATTTTAGCGCATGAAGCTAACTGTGAATTGAAGTCACTGGTTTCAAACAGCTCATCTAAATGTATATTCTTCATTTGAAAATTACGTGAACATTTATCAAATAATGGTAGCTAGCATAGAAAAGAAGAAAAAGAAAGGTCTTGGGATTCAGCGCTTTAAAGAAGTTGTATTCACTCAAAATTGATACGGATACATATCTACCACTTCCCATCCATAAAGCAAGCTGTTTTACTCAATGAGACATAAAGAAAGGATAATTTACGCAATCAAAAAATATCTTTTGTATATTGCTGAACGATCTATGTTTGACATACTTTCAGCAAATTGAAGTCTGGCTGATAATACTGCAGTGTAACTTCGACTGTAGAACGTAGACTACTTGTTTTATATTTTACGGATATCTAACCAAAGTTCCTGTCCTAGAAACAATCAAACGAGGGCACATGCTAGTAAATACAACTCAAATTGTTGATTGCTATGATAAAAAAACACGACCATAACAACGTGAAAACCACAGGTCAGGGATTTGTGTGTCACCTTACCAAGTTTTATGCAAAACCTAAGTTCTACTACCTTGTTCAACTTTGGTTAGACTCATCATCATAAAATAATAAGTTATCATGTCTGGAAAGTTAATTACTGGCTGCATATTTCATAGTTATTTGAGTAATGAGGCCAGATGCATTTCCACATGATCTTTAAACAAAACTATACTTATAACCCCCTTATCTCACTTAACATATAACAAATGTATGTTATTACTTTTTTTCATCACTTGATTGATAAAAAATCATCCCTGAGAAGAATTTCAGAAGCGTCATCATACATACACTGTGACATTACAAATTATCGCTTATCATTGATTGGTGTTGAAAAGCGAAAGGTCCATCGAAAATAATCTCGTCTCGCTCTACACTACACTAACTTAAAAGTATAAACCTCAATAATGTTTATTGAATCCTTTTGAATCCATAAGACTGAAAACATATCTAATGCATCGGAACACCCTTAAAAAACCATAACAACTTTCGTATCCTACAGTCGTCTGGTGAACCCTAAGTGCCTACTTGCCTGCACTGAACTCTACCTGTCACGTGTATAGTGAGTACAGTTCTCCAGTTTTTGTCTGGTCGAATCAAGAACTGCATGCTTTAATATTTTCCTCATAACACTTGTCATCAAAATGAAGTGATGTTAGAAATTAGTCAGAACCGTATCGTCACTAAGACAGTTCATGTGTGTCATCTGATTAGCCCTTTTTAGAACTATTTTTAACAATATGTTGATTTTAAAGTAACTAAATCTATTCAAACTAGAGTGAAGATACTTAGATATCCATACCAACTTTAAAGAGGTCGGTAGATTTTAGAAGATTGTGGAAATTATTCGATTATCGGCTGAATTGCTATTCAGATGTGTTTTTTTTATTAAGCACATATCCGTATAATATCACAGTTTAGAAACCCATAAGACTCTTTGGTGTCAATGATTTTCAAGTGAACGACGTTGCGTTATGTATGCGAATAAAACATTATCCGTGCAACATGCAGCCTGAAACAAGAAGTGCAATGCATTATACAAGATTTTTTTCTGTGCTGGGAACTGATCAAAATCATTGGTATACGCTTCTTCTAACTTAAGACGGGTACCATTCATCTCATAGGTAGTCAAACATTTTTTAAAGACTCATGCACTCACTATCTTTACAACAGAATATAAAAAACATATTTAGGAATGGTTTTTGCACAACGTATAGACGAATGGATAAATGAAATGTGAACATAGTTATTAAGAAAGTTTAGTACACTTCTCAGAACAAAAAATGACGGTCATGGACGACGAGAGATTAGCATGCATCAAATTGTCAAAAATGAAAGTAACTAGAGCATCCGAAAATGCAAAACGTGTATAAAACCCATGTGTCGTAACACAATGAATGAACTTCCAAAAACACATGGAAGCCATGAATTAGTCTGAGCATGCTCAGTGACATAACATGCCGTATCAGTCAACAAATAAATATGTCATAACCGCATATAATAACACAGTGGTGGAATGTACGGTTCATTAATTTCATCTTTATCCGAGAAGGTAAGTGCTGAATTGTACAAGACAGATATATAATTTCCTTGTGCTCCGAGGTTGAAAGTTAGTTATCCTAATATATAAATGTGTTAATACAAGTCGTAATAGACAAAATCAAGAAGTATGCTCAAAACTAATAATCCATTCACGTGTCATTAATTTTATAAAGCAAATTCATGCGACTACTCAGAATGACGATCGAATGTTGAATTCACGGGCTGAATAATCTGACAAACTAAACTGACTTAACGTAGACATGGTTCCATCTTGAAAATGAAGTAACCACCAATTAAAACGTCACAACAGATATGAGAAATACTAGAAAGAGTCAGTAAGTTAGAATTTGAAAACATGCTACACAGATCAATGAGACAACACTGGCTAAATTGGCGACTACATGCATATGCAGCAAATTAGACAGAGATAACAGAATAGTTTACCATATCCGAAAAACCCACCAATGTATCCAAATGGGTTTTATCAAAGGATAAAGACGCTGATTCTGTCAGTTTCCTTTGTTCTATGGGCCTTACAGGATGAATATCCGTATTATAACTACTTTGTTGGCGAACATAATCCTGCTCACAGGTACCGTTTGTTAATTTAGAAATGAAGAGTAAGTCCAATAGATCAATTTGTGTAGATTTTGATAAGCAGTTTTTCTGTTTTGTTTTGCGCACATTTTCTTTTATAAACTTATTAGATTCCCGTAAGTTGTGTATTTCAACTTCTAACTTTTGGGATTGTTCTAGCTGGCTCTCTGCCTCTTCGAGAGTAGACTTTAAACTAGAAATAGATCTTAACCTCATTATGGTTGCGTTATGTTCCAGCTCAACCTTATTACATTTTAAAATGAAAAACAAAAACAAAATGATCAATTCAAAATTTGATCATAAAATGAAATCAGTATGAAATAGAAATATGAAACCTAATCTCGGGTGTGGGCACATAACCATCTACCAATCAGCATATCAACAGTACAGTGCCAGCCACATTACCTATACGCTCAAAATTTAACCACCAGAGCTGAAACTCAAAACCTATTACCACACTATTTGGTTGTATTGGTTAGGTATCATCAAATACTCGGCAGATGTTTTACGGGGATGTACACAAACCGAGTACGGATACTGAAACTCATATTTACAATGATTCCTAAAACACTAATTTATATGGTACAACTAACGCAATTTTCTATCTTTTCTAAACTACCGTCTTAACAGATCGCAAATAACCATGGAAAACCTAGCATAGTGAACCAGATGTTATTACAGTATAGTCATAATAGTATCTTATGAAACTGTTTCTTTGATCATTCTGTTACGTTTTTTTCTTTTGATTGCCTGCCTTTACTACGCCTAAATAATGTTGTTAAATTACTATATGAAGTGTATTTTTGCGGCTCAAGTTGTACCCAGTTTATGTTATAGGTAAAAATAAATTTCGATGACATGTTTGAAAACAGGAAATGTTTTGCTTTCATGGTGTGACGCTTTAGAATGAAGAATAGTTGTGCTAGATTAGCATCTGTCGGTAAATCATGACACTTTGGATATAGTGTATTTGAGTTCGTAAGAGTCAGTTGTTTGAGACGACGTTATGTACAGTTTGCAATAAAAACAATTGGGGATCACGCAGTAGTTTACTGATCACCTGTTTTTGATGAGCAGTATAAACTAGTGAAGAATTTCTGGATGTATCTCACGAGACTGCTTCTCGAAATATCTTTTACTTCCGATGTTCCCTTTGAATTGATACTTTGATAATTTTGCTACAGCAGTGAGCGGAATGAGCGTCCTGTTTAAACCAATGAGCTACGACTCTACGATTAAGGTAGATAAAAACATATTAAAACGAAACTATGATCCAGAGGTAGAAATATAGTCTATGAAAAAACCCTTAATAACGACAAAAATAAATCAGTAATTTTTACAAGTTTAGAAGAACACACGCAAACGTTTTCTCTACCTGGGATTTCAGATGATTGACTTCTCTGAAAACAGTCTGAAGACGTTTGGTTAAGCCATCAAAACACGTTTGCAAGTCTGACTTCATTACATATACAGAAGACCCATCTGCTGAAGGAGTCAAGTATGCACTAAGCAGCTGTCCAAACTGTGTGAATTCTTGATCAATATGGTTCATGCTTTGATCAAAACGTTCGAGGCTTACTATTAGACCATTGAAGTTAATATCTCCATCCGACTGCTGAAACTCAGTTCATTATATGTTAGTATGTTACAGCGGTCATCCATGGGTATTTTCAACGGATAGCTTCCATTCAATAAGTGTTCCGAGTTTCCACGAGATTCCTAAGTAGAAAGGTCAAAATCATACCATTTTGTTCTGAGTGCATTGATAAAATTCACAAACCAGAAAACGAGTTATGACTTCATTTAGGTTGGGGAGCTTCGGAATTACAATAACCTAAACATATGCAGTGCACATTTACGTGAATTTATATAACACCGCATATTGAGATCTTCACGAGTCGAATTAGCTTATCAGTTAAGCAGCTAACTTATCTAGGTGATATATATATATATATATATATATATATATATATATATATATATATATATATATATATATATATATATATATATATGAGAAATAACACTACGAACTCTAGGGATTAATCAGATTTCCAACCAATTGTTGGGGCATAGACAGGTGAGAAACTGTGATATTTTGCCTTCGAGGCTCGACCGATAGCTGCTACCTTGACGTGTTAGTCGGGTTTGCATAGCACGATGATCCGACGGGCCATGCTGGTAGAATGCTTGTTGCCTCGAGGTCCTACCATGTCAGAATGGTCTATTGGATAGTGGTGAGATGGAAAGCAGTTCTCATTGTAGTTTTAGTTACTACAATATGATGTGAGACTGAAGAGGCGAAGTCGTACTGTTGCTAGCCGATTGGGGTGTGATAGCAATAAGGTGTTTCCTTTGGATGATCAGGAATGGCATGCTGATGTTGCCTTCCCAACGAGGGGATGAAATAATAAAGCGGTAGGAAAATAGCAATACACCATGGCAATGCAAGATGAACCACAAACTTTTCTTGTGCACGAATTTGGTTTGAGTCGACGGACTGATGCTGCTTCTGCAAAACGTAGCAACCTAATATTGAAAAATTGGCAGGTTGTGTTTGAGTTGATAGCATGATCTGTATCAAGAATGTGTTTACCATGGCACTGGCAGAGAGCTTTACTCCTTCTAATGATATGGTTTTTGGAACATGTTCAGAGATTCCTTTAGCAAGGACTCTCCTTTCTTCGACATATGTACTACTGTGAGTTTAAGTAAATAAACAGATACAATTGGAGATAACGTGAAGTCTCACATCTAAATTAGTTTCTCTGAGCATGTTCTTCCTGTTGTAGACAACTATCAGTTTTGCAGCTGAACAGGTTAGTGGGATGTATGCATTCAGTTGGCGATTATTTTGCAAACTCAATTCACCGCATGTGAATGGTAGTCAAACGAATGCGTTCTTTATCGACACGGTTGTTTTAATCATTTTTCCACTCGTAGATTCAAAGTTACTCATCAGTGAATTTTATGGGATATCCAGTATCCAACAGAGTTTTTTAAATACTTTCCAATTCATTATTAAATTATTCTTTGGAACATAATCTGGTTGCTCTTGAAAGCAGTGTCTTTATTAGACTTCTTTTGTAAGCAATGGAACAAAAACTATAAAATGGCAAATATTAACCGGTCCAAGTAGGTTTATGATAAGTTCAGTATAGGATCGAATCACCGTCATTTCTATGAATACACAAATTTAAAAAACGTATTCCATCTAACGTTGTGTGTGAGAGACTAGAGTAAGCGGTTTTCACTGTCATATTTGATAAACGCATCATCTACATATCTCAAATATATATATTTTCATTTGATAGCATCACTTAGTTTAGTATTCTCTAAATGGGCCACAAATACATTCACAAAAGTAGAGCCAAGTGGATTGTTCATAACAACACCTATCTGTATGTAATACGAACCATTAAACTAGAAATGCAAATTTTTTGTGTATAGCATGTTTAAGTCAATCCTATTAAAGGTAGTCAAAAGCTACCTTTCAAAGTAAGAACAGCTAGTTCTTTCCTGATAAGTTCAACTAACTGTGCAAGCCATCGAGCGAGCTCGTGATACGGCGAGTTTGACAGAGCCAATATGGGACATAAAGGTATTCCAGTTCTGTCTGTCTTAGAAAGGTTATACATTCTTCGCAAATAAGTACTTTGAGGTCTCACTGACTGACTGACAGAACCAACGTAGAACCTCCTATACAGGCCCATCAGCTGAAGTTGCCACACTTCACAGTAGAACACAAAGAACAGGTGGATAGAAAATGAGCGATATTAAAGTCGATAAAGTAGTGTGAGAGAATAAACAATCTGATGCCAAAGGATATTGCGAATAACCAAGCTTTAAATGTTAAGGTATGAATACATCTGCAACACTGTAGCCGATTTTCAGCCATATCAACAAGAGTCCTCAACCGCTGATTTCTTTTGTCTTGAGGGCCCCAAGCAGACAGTCTACATCTCCCCCACATAACTCAGACCAGCAGTAAGAGAATTCATCGACTGGTGTCACATCTTGGTCTCGCCATCCTTAAACATCTTCCAACATCCAACGTCCTCTAGCATAACACATCGAGTTAGGTGATGGTTTGCCATGCGTAGTGCATGTTAAAGTCATCTCAGACGACTAAGGTTCACAACCTCATCAATTGACTTATCTGTAATGACTAGTACCCTTTACCTGACCTCAACATTGCTCAGACGGTGATCCTACCAAACATGAGAAATGCTACGAAGACACCTGTGTTTAAACACCTGTAACTGCTGCATGTCTCCTACTTTTAGTGGCCATGTCTCACAGCCGTACAACAGGACAGAACAAACCGCAGCACATTATAGTCTTCCTTTGATCGACAGTCGGATATCTCGCTAGCTGGCTCCACAGATGAAACGAGTTGGCAAAGGTCGAACAACCAACCCGTTCTGAATGATGCGACTCCCCAAGTGGGTGAAGTAGCCGACACATTCCACAACTTCACTCCCTATCACTAAACTAGTAGTTTAAGACCAGTCCTGAAGCATCATCTTACATTTGATAGGTGCCAAATGCATGCCAAAAATATTCAAATTTCTGCTCAATGTGTCAGCGACTTGACCTAGCAGGACAACGTCGTCTACATACTCCAACTCCAACAGATGATGTCCAGGGAGTACATCTATTCCTGCAAAGTCAGAAGTACTTGAGGTTATGTCCACTAGTACGTCTATAACGAAGTTGAACATAAACAGTGACAGTGGGCGTCCCTTCCAAACACCTCTAGTTGTCGTCAATTCACACAACAACTCTTTATATCTCCTCACACGCCTGAGTGAGTTCCAGTAGACAGCTTTGATACTCGGTACACCTATCACAGTTAGACACTGTCACAACACATCTCGATAGACAGAATCAAGTGCCACCTTTAGGCCAAGAAATATGGCAAGTGTCGGACGCCCGTAGATATGCCTGTATTCCAGAACCTGTTGGAAGTCAAAATATGACCAATACAACCTCTTCTAGATCTGTGACCTGCCTGGTTTACTCGACTTCGCTGTCCTCAAGTGCAGCGTCAATTAGGCACCGCATGACCATGGGTCCTAGGATTTTTGACACAACACTAGTCAAATTAGTTCCCCTATGGTTGTCACAAAACGATTTCTCCCCCTTCTTATAAACTGACATGATCAGTCATGTACGCCAGTCTGATGGCACTAACTGTGATTACCAAACACTATTGTAGTAACTCCGTCACTCAAAGCAGCAATTTTCTACCTCCACCCTTGAAAGCTTCAGGTGGCAAACTGTCAGGTGTCTGTTGTTTTGTATCTTTTCCGGTTCGATACAGCTTTTCCAACTTTAGGGAGAGTTGGAGGGCCGACATCTACGTCCCATTCAAGTTCAGGCTGAATGTTGGGTAACTGAAGCGTTGCTGAGGGCCAGTTGAACTGTGCTTCAGTGTTCTGCCCAACGTTCTAGCCGCCTGTTCTAGGACGGTTTCACCAACTATCGTTTTGTTGTCGGTATTCTTAATAAGCGTAAATAGTTCCCGAGTGTTAACCCAACCCACATGCCTTCTCTATCTCTCACTTTTGTCACCCACTGCTACTCGCGATCTGCGCGAAGACTCCTGACCAGTTTACGTTTAAGTTTCTTTCACTGTGCATTGTGGTCACAGCCTGCTGGAATCTGTCTTCGGGCATCAGTCAGTTCGGATGACGTCACCAAAATCGAACGACGTTTGTTAACCTTCAAGTGTAGGTTACCATCTGTCTTTACCAACGTTTTTACGTCAGACTTAATATCAAACTAGGTTCCCTCAGAACCAGCAATGCTGTCATGTTCAGATAAATGCTCAGCTAACTCTTCTCTCTAAATACCTACTTGGTGTACCCATCTACTAATCGAGTTCAGATGGTCCTCACAATCTCCTCCCGCCAATAAAAAACAGAAACACACGAACCGGCACCGATTTGTGATCGAAGTCCAGGTTGGTACTCCAGAAATAGCTGCAACCCTCTACCGGTTCTCTCCAACGATGTCTTATAGCAATGTGATCTATCTGTGTCCATTATTGGTTTGAAGTAAGCAGACAATGTGAGACAGTTTCTCTCCTTATCCTTAAAGTTAGTCCTGGTCAGAAACAAATGATTATCGGAACAAAATTGCAACAGATGATCACCATTGTCGGTTTATTGATATGGGATTTTGTAAATAACCGCAAGATGCCTTAGCGACTGGTTCAGCTTTCCTACTTGAGCGTTAGTCACCTGCCATTATGACTACAATTGAACGTTTTGATTTTTGTGGCAAAGTTGAGTTTTTCATAGAATTGATCCTTTACATCATCTAATCTGCAATCGGTGGGTGCGAAGGCGAATTACGAACAGGCATCGCCTAGTCACATGCTCCTTCCTAGTTCTTATAGATTCACTCAGTCAAACAGCACATAAACCGCTGTTGACTAGTACCCAGTCGAGAAGCGCACTTTCTGCTCTACAACTAAATGTTATGCCTACACCAGCGAGTCAACAAAAGCCAGTCACAGGATCTACGGATACTTTTAAAGTGAATTTTGACGATTCACCCCACTGGCCAAAAAAGATTAATTTAATAACAACACTCAGGTTCACTATACTTGTCTCAGAGACATACCATACATTCATTGTTAGAGATTCCATAGTTCTGGTAAGCGATGCTTGCTGTTCAGTCTGCGAAGAGTTCGAATGTTGGAAGCTCCTACATGAAGTTGATGGCCGGTGGTGTCTTAGGAGTCTAGGAATGAGAATTCAACGGCTTTGATTGTTGGCAATGGTCGCAGTATGAGAGTTTGGGAAAGGTGTAAGAAACCTGATATCAGTATCAGGAGCTGAAGGCAAAGGAGATAGAGTTGAGGAGGATAGGTTATGTTTGATTGAGTCTTGTGTACTACTGAAAGCGTGCTGGTAGTTGACACTTCCCAGCTGTCCGTAGCGTAGAAGGCTATTTCTTCTAAAAGTGTCTAAAAGAGAAAAAGATTTGGGTGACCGCAGAGCCCACGAGACATCTGCTAGAGGCCTGTCACACATAGTCTTTAGAGGGATGTTGTTTTGAGGTATGGCTGGTCAAACGCCCGGGGGGGGAACTTATACTGCAGATTCTGGAATTGTGGGTAGAGGAGATGTTCTATGTTTAGGGCCGACCTTTTCTAATCTAACTCCACCATTCTCTTTGGGAGGGCAGCACCAGCATGCCATTCCTGATCATCCAAAGGAAACACCTTATTGCTATCACACCCAATCGGCTAGCAACAGTACGACTTCGCCTCTTCAGTCTCACATCATATTGTAGTAACTAAAACTACAATGAGAACTGCTTTCCATCTCACCACTATCCAATAGACCATTCTGACATGGTAGGACCTCGAGGCATGGCCCGTCGGATCATCGTGCTATGCAAACCCGACTAACACGTCAAGGTAGCAGCTATCGGTCGAGCCTCGAAGGCAAAATATCACAGTTTCTCACCTGTCTATGCCCCAACAATTGGTTGGAAATCTGATTAATCCCTGCAGTTCGTAGTGTCACGTCTCTATTAGTCTTTTCAGAGAAGTGCTTCTTACTACTCAATAAGCTGAGAATTTTTGAGGTAGTTTCGCTTGTTGAGCACAACCACGCCGAAGCTTTTCTCAGGTTCTAGTAGGACAATTTTTACATTTTTAATCAATTCACTAATGCCTTTGTGACCCTTCGAGTAAACAAACCCTATATTTTGGGATGCTGGCACATTAACTAACTAAACCAATAAGCGGCCTTCAGATAGCTGCTTTAATTATGATGTGGACTTGAAATTAGAATTGATTGTACAAGTTTTCTAAGTGACATTCAAGATCGATTTGGCTAGCTTTATTGTGAAGAACATGAAATTTGAAGCACAAAGACAATTCCTGTTATTCAGGTCTCGATGAGTGAATACAGTAAGGATTAGGAACATACTTTTCTGGACTTTTAAGACGTTTTCTAATTCGCTCTTAGAATACTAATTTTAAAAAATATTTGTTTGGGAAAGACTAATTCGTGTTATTGCTTTTGAGGTTGTACGGGAAACCATCGACTTTCACTGATCACGACAAACAAAATATTACGATGAGTAGGAAGAGCATTAAAAGTGTGCGTAGAATAGGGCATATATATAACCGGAATATGGGAATACAAGGAAACATACATCATCTACATTGCTAGAAATTCCTACAATCTGATTATCATTGACATTATGGTTTTCATCCCATTGGCTGTGATCAAAATTATCGCCAAAATACATAGTAGGTGGCAAATCTATTTCCCCTAGTTGGTGATGCAAACAAGGTCATTGTAACGCATCTTTTGAACGTGCCGGGGGTTGGAAAGAAGATAGTTGAAAAATGCATTAAAACTATTAAAAGGAAGTTAATTTTCAGCAGATTTTTCGTATTTGAATCTTGTACACACGATTTGAAAAGGAATTTGACTTCCTCGGATGTATGGTTAAAGTTTTGCTAGTTTCACATTGAAAGGATGTATGCTAGCTTTTGACAATAAATATCAGTGCGGCATCTTTTCTTCATAATATAACCAGACTGTCAGTAATTTTGGAATAAGATACCTAATCTCAACGAAATGATGCTTTTCATTCCACATTAGTATGAAGTATCAGCAAATGATGATTTTTAAGCACGTTTTTTGCATTCCAGGGCACGAATCACCAGGATGTGAGGTTTAGCATACGTTGGGTGTCACTGAAAAAGAGACAGTGATCTGTGGAAGGGAATATGGAACCCCTCCATGCAGGTTATGGTTGGTGATAAACTATAGATGGAGGCGCAAACTCCAAGATTAGGGTGATGAAAACGACATAAATAAATGGAAGCCCATATTATGGCTCGAATTCAGTCACAGTAATGCATGTTTGTGATCGCTTATCACCTCCAAAGTTTTGGATAATCTCATAAAGATTAAGATTATTATTCTCCTTGGTCCAATAACACTTTTCTTTCTTTAGGTCGTTTCTATCTCATTAGCCCAAACATGATGGTGTGCATCTCAGTAAACTGAACCAATGAACTTGCGTATCAAGTGCTACTTTTGTTGCTGTTTTGGTCCTCGTGGTCAGCGGTACGATTTTATTTTTGTTACAACCAGACGTTTACTCAAAAAGCCGCATGTCGCATTAGGCTCGTTAGTGGAGTGATTTTTCACCACCATGAGTGCATGAAGAGTTCCATTATTCACATCCAATGATTTCCAAAATGTCCAGAAACACTATCACTCTCACATGATCTCAATTACAGTATTTTGACGGAAACATGAATATGCTTCAAACGATCCATACTTATGAGTGAAGTTTCTGGGGGCATGGATTTCGTAGTTCCGTGAAAACACGACTTGAACCCTTGCCTGCTAAATTAATTTTGATGCGTTGTTCTTACATGGACACAACGAACGACTAGCGTTTTAAATGAAAGTGGACGAGACGAATAATCACTGTCGCTTCTCAGCTGGAAGTTTCCACAGAGAACCTGTTTAAGGAGTCTTGAGTGCAGTTCTTCTGGTGTGGTTGGTTTTAGCAGTCACATTACCAGGCTTCCTAAATACATCATCTCAACCGATGTCCACGTAGTTCATCCTGTCGCTGAAGCCCAACGATTATGCAGTTGAAGTTGTGTCTATTGGGGTCTCCTGGGTAAAGATTCCAGCAAAATATCTCGTCATAGTTCTGTTTCTCCTAATCTTACTCAATCAACAGGTTCATTTCTGTTTCTTTGATTGGGTGGGGACATCACAATGTATATTATCTCTGCCCTTCTAAAATAGAAATAGCTTCCTTGGGTTCAGCATTTCAACTTGGGGCATGTGCATCCCAGGGCATATTAGGGACCAGCAGGTAACAGCGATACGTTCTTCCTGGGCTTTTTGTAATGTTTCCTCACTTCAGGCGAGCAAAATCGGTGACAATACTCCAAAAGCATTTCTTCCGTTGCACTGCATATCGCATTTCGCTGTTTATTCTTGAAGGATAGTGTCTTTGTCCCTTCGAGACAGTCCACGGAACGAATACTTGAGCCACTCTGGTGCATCAGAAGTCTCCTACCTAACGATCGGCAATACGAGATATTGTGGCTGGTTGATATCTTACTTCTTGAAGTTCAGTTGGTTGGACAGAGGTCCTCATGCTCCACTTTCGCTTGCGACAGCTCCTACGGTTCTTACAATCAGGGTGTCATTCAAGCAAAAGATGACACCGTCACCCCCATGTTAGTCTACCATTCTGATAAAGGACGAACGCTTGTAGATGTGAGTCGCTATCATTCAAACCATGGAAACAATATACATTGTGGTGTTTCCGCCCAATAAGAGGAACAGAAATGAACCTGTTGATCGAATAAGATAAAGAAAAAGCGGAACTATGACAAGATATTTTTCTGGAATCTGTTCTTAGGAGACCCCAATGGAGGCAGTTTCAACAGCATAAGTGTTAGGCTTCAGCAGCATGATGAACTGCGTGGACATCGGTTGCGTTGATGTATTTGGGAAGCCTAGTAATGTGGCTGTACAACCAACTACGCCAGGGGGCGGCACCCAAATATGCTTCGTAGTTTTTCACAGCTTTCCTGCTGATCAATACGTTCGTAGTACCTATCAGTAATTTCCTTTCTCCCGTGTGACCACTGGGACCCAATATTTACACATTTCTACTCTACGGAACGTTTTGAACATTAACGCGGAAAATTTCCATAGAGATCAATGAAGAGATAGGTTAAAGTCAGCATTATTATCCGCATTGCAATTTGGTTTGCCAACCTGGATAAGCTGCGGTTTCTTTTACTTAAGGATATCCTATTTTGATCAAGTTACATCGGGTCTGGAATGACAGGGTACCTGTAAGTGCTGTTTTCACACGGTACTTTTGTTAGCCCGGGTGGTTTAGGGGTTATTGGTAGCCCCCTTGTAAGGATCGGGTCTTCGTTTGTTGTTATGAGGCAGAGGGCAATGACCAGTTACAAACTATCCTCTTTAGAGATGACGCCCAGCAAGCCACGCTCCTCGGTCTGCCTCCATTATCCTGCGGATACACGAAGCACAAAGTACCAAGAAATCCCTCTTTACACTGATGATGTGAAAACGTGGGGGAAAATCTTGTATGATGAAGATATGCATGCACCTCAGGTAGACAGAATTAATTTGTCAACTAAGTGAGAATGACAGGTGATACCGATCAATGCAGATGTGTGCGTATGCACCTTGGGCATGCAGACAATAACTTCCACAACACCCGCTGGTTTTATCTACCATCAGTATTGGCCAAAGGTTATCGAGGATTTGTAGCAAGTTGTGATTTCAAGACCACAGAGTACTGTCATTCGGTCGCAGCTCAGAACTTCAGGGCATTTTGGGCAGCATACAAAGTGTTTTCTAAAATAAATGGCAATATATTGATCACCTTGTGTAACTGTTCGTATACGTCTGAATTTTAGTGGCAAATCCAGGTCTGCAAGTTGACACAGCCGGCTTCGAACGACAGACACTCGCTTGTTTCCTGTAATGGCTAGATTGACTTATAAGGAGCATCTTCACTGTTTTGATCTCTCATCCTAATCGTATCAAAGATGGAGGACAGATCCGTTCGTGTTATGAACGACTTGAAGAAAAGACTTTAGACTATCACGTCAAAACACCTCGAAGGATATAACCGGAAAGAACTAGAAATTGTGTCTAATAGGTTTCGAGTAAGGCAATCATTACAACTGTTGTTAATATCCTGGCCATACGAGCGGAGGATGAACGCCAGCTGCGTAGGAGACTGGGATTTTGTGCTGAATAGACAACTCAGAATCGAATCCTGGGGGGGTGGTGTGGACGTCATCCATCGAATCATTCTAAGGAAGACTGGAGAAGTAAGGAAAGGATTCATGTGAGCTGTCAGTCTTCTGTTATGAAACTGTAAGCCTGAATCAGGAACACACAAGGTCGCGTAGATAAAAATCAAAGTGACCTTTCGAGATAAACGGAAAACCGAGAACAGAAAAATTAGTGCACCACGTGAGTCCTTAATGAAAACTACTAACAAACTGCAGAGATTTAACGTATCTGATGGAGCAGCTGTGCACAGACATTAACGTAGTTACAAAAGGCAGCTAATGCTCATACACGTTTGAAATATTTGCAGCAATTATAGTATTTTCCCTCGGGTTCCCAGTGGAACACAGGGCTTCAGTAGCACGTCCCCATTGCACTCCCTCTCTATAGTATTTTCAGCCTGGCTCTACGACTGCCCAGAAGCTTCCATTTCTTCCTCACACCACCTCCACCATGTCACCCTCACCTCAGACGCCCAACTCGTTGTCTCCCCTTTGTGTTCCACTCGAGGATCTAGCCTGGCCTGACGCGTGATATCCCGAACTGTCTTCTCAGTGTATGCTCAATCCAATTCATCTCCACTTCCTCCTGCATATTTGTTGGGCGATGGGTTCTTGCTTCGTTGGTTCGCTGTTAGCCAGAGTTCCTCCTTGCTTATTCTTATAATTCTGGCCATCTGATCTTCACTGTCAGTATCGAGTGAGGATGTGCGGCAGCTGTTGATGATGTATGTCTGTAGTTTTTTTTTGCAATGCTTTTCGTGACGTGCCATGTCTCTCAACCATCACATAGAAGCACTGACTGACTTGACTGACATTAGTGTTGAGAATCTGGATGTTGTTCACGCTTTATGTTGAGTGGAGTGCAGTAGATCTGCACACTGATTTTAGGTTGATGAAGGAAGATCTGTCTTGGTGTGTTTCCGATCGTGGTTTAGACATCATGTGTGCCTCCACCACCGCCTGTATGTAGTTGAATTGATGCTGCCGAGGTAGGTAGATGAAAGAGGTTACTTCCTTTAGATTTCTCCTGTTGATGGTGATTGATGCCTGTTGTTGTTGTTGTTGTTGTTGGTTAGGTATCTTCATCACTTCTGACTTCCCTACGCTCACCTGAAGGAAGTCCCGTCTTTCTTCGCCTCCTCACCTCTTCTACCAACTTTTTAGTTTTTGCCCATATATCTTCGAGTTTGTGCATCAAGACATTAGACATACATCATCATTGACGAAGTCCAAATCTTCTAGAATCTTTCTATCTTTTGCGATAATAATGGGAATAGACATTTGGAAAAAACGAATGATGCGGTGAATCAAGAAATGTTATTTTCCCCATATATCTTCCTGCCTGGTGAATCATTGTGCTAGACAGGGTGGTCATTTCAGAGTCAGCTGGCCTTCCTGTGGATTTGGACGCATCGTTACCTCCAAC